TCAACTGAAACAATAACATTACAGCATATGTTATTTGCTTAAACAAACATCCATGTTTGTTAACTAATTTGGCTAAACAAAATATATATATTTTAAGAAATTTAGACTGTCAGCCCAGCCTACACATGAAAAACTTAAATACTGTCCTCTGTAGCTCACATGTCATCTTCATCTTCTTCTTTGTTCATAATCTGGAAAAGAAAAACAAGCTTTCCTGCTTTATCGGGTCCCAAACGATTTCTCAATTTAGAATGAATAAGTCCAAAGGAAGAGAATATTCTTTCAACGCCTGCAGAAGAAGCTACTGCTGTTAAAAGTGAAATCATTTCTTGAACAGTCTCTAAATCCAAGTGCTTAAGTGACTTCCACCAGTTCACTGGTGTGACTTTCTTTAAAATAACTTCAGCAAACATGTATTTCTTGAATGGTTCCCCCTTAGCTTTGAAGTTTATTATAGTTGGCATTACAGATGGATGATTGCTGGATACCCATGTCATAGCTAACTCCTCTTCCTCAGCACTTAAGTTTTGGCCCTGATACTGGATATTGACAATATTTGCCAAAAAATGAGCTGGAGACAGTACTTGTCCCATTCGTTTTTTTAATGCTTGTAATTTAATTCTGTCCATGTGTAGTTCTGTTTTTAAGTGTTCATTCAGTTCCTTCCAAATTTCAACAGCATCAGCAATAAAACAGCTATTTTTCTGTATTTTGTTTAAAGCTTCAGAGATGGGTTTCAGGATGCTCAGCATATGTTCAACATTTCTCTTAAGCCCAATGTTGAGGATTTTGGCCATGACAGTGCCATTTATTTTATCTCGATTTTCTTCACAAACTCATCAGAATAGGCCAGTTCTTGATATACTGCTCAAAACAGTCCACCACAGAGTTCCATCTAACATCTTGTGGGAGCGTTAGCTTGGTTCCACCCATCCTTTTCAGAGCTGCTGCAGCAAAATGATTGTTACGGAAGTATTTAGCAATTTCAACAACATTAGTCTTTATTTCTGGAACACTTAAGTCTTTGGCTAAGAGGTAGCTTTGTATTCCCTTCCTGCTCTTCTAAATTTCTTCTCATCTTGGATACATTTGCAGCATTGTCTGTGACCAAACTGCGTACTAGACATTTGAATTTTTGTTCACATGTTATATAGCTTTTACTGCCACTTCTTGTAAGTATTCTGCTGTGTGTGCATTTCCTGATGTATCAATTGTTTGTGCAAGGAAGACTTTTCCTTCTTCTGTTGTTATACAAGCACATACAATAGGATCATTGTGGACATTACTCCACCTATCAATACTTAGGTTAACAATTCTACCCTCCAGAGCTGTTGCACATTGCTCCATTTCTCTGTCATACACTTTATCCAGCAGTTTCCCTGCAACATCTGCTCTACTGGGTGGACTGTATCCTGGTCTCAGTGACTGAACCATATTAATGAAATGTGGGTTCTCAGTCAGACGGAAAGAAGAGTTCGTTGCATAAACAAACTGGGCAATTTTTTCATCAATTAACTCTTTTTCTAATCTGCTAGTTTTTATCACAAATTTATCTATGGTGGTTCCAGGAGGGAAGGGTTTTTTCTTTCTTTTAGGTGATAGTGATATGTGGCTATGGGTGTCTGATGATGATGATGATGCTAATGAAGCACTGTCCTGGATGGATAACTCTGAAACTGTAGAACAGGAGGATGGTGATCTTGAAGGTGGATAGTTTCCAGAATCCATGAATTCCCCTAAACAAAAAAGTTAATGCTGTTATTTTATTATTTATACAATTTCTGCTTATTGTACACAGCACTGCACCAAAAGGAATATTTGCTTTTCTTCATAACTCTACCAAATGACAGTAACATGCAGTAATAATAAGAAATATAATTTTGCTCAAACATGACAGTTCAAGGCAGTCTTTAGAAATATTCAATAAAAATGTTTACCAACCTGAAGATCCTGCCTGTTCAAATGTGTTCCTTTGGTCATCTTCATCACAGCACTTCTCATGATGTTGCCTCATTCGGGCCACCAGGCCTTGCATTTCTTTGTTGCAGTGTTTGCAGTTTGCACACATGTCTGCCTTACCGATAGGTAAAGGAACTTCATTAAAATATTGCCAAATTGGGTCTCTTTTATGGCCTGCTGCCATTATAGGTTTTTTCCTCCAAGGAAAGAATGTGATAAACCTCAGGTCATACACACAAAAAGATCGAAAGACTTGTGTGGCTGTGCAGTATTGTGCTCAGAAAGTTTCACTTTCATTTTGTACTGCTTGTCTGCTTGCCCCTTCCTCCTCACACTTAGTTTCACTTTCTTCTTGTGCAGATCTATTCCACTCCAAACAATCAGAAAAATATTGTTTCTATTCTATTCACTGAACTTCTTGAAACTTAGCACTGAAGGGGTTGGTTCTGTATTCATAGGTTTGTAGAACAATAGAATTAAGGTATTTTTCTCAACTCTGTTCATGTTATAACATTTTTGCTGTGAAGAAGAGGCATGTGGTCTCTGCTGAGTCAAATTCAGTTTTGAGAACTGCAAAAGTAAACCAAGCATCTGTGATAATATCTTGTAGGCAGAGAAACTGCCCAATAATCTTACAAAAACCTCTGGAAGAGCATGACATTGTGAATGGATTAATGGAATTTATTTACCAAAAAAATGAAACATATACAGCCTTATTCTACATAATTAAAAAACTAATCTTTATTTCATGATGGAATAACCTTTGGATGGTAATATATTTTCCTCAAAAAGCATTTTATTTAAAAAAAATCCAATTTAAATAAAAAAAATCTGATTTTTTCCTGACTCGCTGCTCAGACAATCCTACAGAATGGGATCTAGCAGTGTGATTGGATGTACTGAGTGCCTATCATTTTTCCTCTGCAGTCCTAGTCCCGCCCTCTGGTTGCTCCTGTCAGTCTTTTTCACTCAGTGGATTGGACCAGACCTGAGTGCCTTATTCTCTTCTTCATAATTAGCAAATGCTAGTTTTTTCCTTTATTTTCTTTATTTAGTTATTTTTTCTTCTAAATTGTTTGTTTGCTGTTTATTAGAAACTGCAGTTCCAGTTTGGCTTTTGCCTCCGAAACACCGCTTTTTTTTTCCGCCCGGCTATCAGCTGAGGGGCGCGTTTCCGAATTTTTACTTATTTTTCCTAATTGTTTTTTCTAACTTGCTTCTGTGGAGAGCTGCGCTTCGAGGGACGTATTGACAAGCAGCGGCTTCAGGGTTTGACTTTAGTGAACCGCCGAGCTGTCCGATCGCCTCTTTGACAGCTGAGAAGCGCTTTCAAGTAGCCGAGCTGAGAGGCGCGTTTTTTTCTGCTGATTGCTTGTGCCGCGGGTGGTGGAGTTGGGGTCTTTTAGCCAAGACAACTACCACCACCGTCGCAGCTTCTCCCAATCAATCGTGGCTCCAGGGTCCCTGCCCGCCAGTGGCATATCTTGATGTGAGGTTTCCATTGGCGACGGTTGGAATTCCCGCCATTTTGCTTCACCCGCCATTTTAATGGCTGAGGCAGCAATATTACGCTGATGATTGTATGCCTGTCAGTTTCTGTTGACAGCTTGTTATTGATGAGAGCATTACCATCCATGGTTTTCGCTCTTATGCTTACTAAATTTAATTGTGTTTTATGGTGTTTTTTCATATGAAGCTTTGTTCTTCAGATTCACAGGGAGGTGCAGAGTGAAATTGCTCCCTTGGATTCCTGCAGTTCCCTGATTCTCCAGCAGGCTGACTTTACCTTCTCAAGGGAGGTGAATTGTTAATAGTTCATATTTACTGTTTTATCTTATTTACAAAGAAAATAATTAATTTATTAAATAATAATAATAATAATAATAATAATATTAAAATATATTAATTAATTAAGTAATTGATTGAAATCACCATTAACTTTAACTTATCATTAGTTATGGCTGATTCTGCTCTTTCCTCGGATATGGAGATGGAAGTTTCCTCCATGAGGGCCCCTTCTCCCAAACCTGCTGGGAAAAGAAAACAAAAATCAAACAAAGGTTCCAAGGCAGGCTGTAAATCCACGAGTCTCCAACCTGAATTAATGGATAAGGATTCCATGAGGCGCCATAATGCCTTAGAAAAGCAATTCAATAAGGCAAAGGCCGCCATTCAACCAGAGGGCCAGTCTATTCCACTTACAGAGGACAATGTTTCTCAATCCCAAGAGCCTAATTTGGTCAATTGGTCACAGGGTGATATTATTCTTGTGCCTCAAGGTCAAGATTTATCCTCTATTCAAGGCGAACATGTGTTGCAGGGTTCTCTGCCTATATCTTCCTCCGTACCTATTCAGGCCCCTCAGGCTGCACAGCCTTCAATGGTTGCCGGATTGGCTAATGTGGGGTTTGGTAATTCTACTACTGCCATGGACTTTCAGTCTATTTTGTCCTAGGCATTTGCCAGTATTTTTCAAGCTGGGTTGCATCAGCAATCACTCTTGGGCACGCTTCCAAGCACCTCTGGATCTGTTCCAGTTGCACCCAAAGTCCAACCATCCACCAGCTATTCTTACAAACAACCTGAGTATTTTGCTCAGGATGATGAATACCTTGATGAATTTGAACTTTCTGATGATGATGAGTTTCAGGAGAAGCCTTCGATCCCGGGTCTTTTTAGGCCCGCTCTATTAAAATCTCTTTTACATAAGGCAAAAGTAGCAACCAAAATGGGCACAGCTCTTGACCCGGCTTCTTCTTCTCAAGATCAAGGGAATCCTAATGACTCCTTATTTAAATTACCACAAACTGACATTGATTTTGTTCCATGTCCTGTTTTGTTCTCTCAAGTGATTCAAAGACCCTGGGAGAGACCAGGTTCTATTTCAGGTCCCTCGGGTCATGACAAGAAGGTGCTGTGCTGCCCCAGAGCTTGATGCTTTATTGAACTTACCGGCAGTTGACGAGCCTGTAGCCAGTCTTGTCTCTCCATCTGTTTTGGCAGGCAATGTAGGAGATGGCCTGAAGGCGGTAGATAAGAGAACTGAACTGTCCTATAGGAAGACACACTAAGCAGCAGCCTGGATCATCAGAGGTGCTACGTCTGCCTCATATTTTTAAACGGGCGTCGCTTATCTGGCTTCGCCAGCTCCGAGACAGATTGCCCCCTGAAGAGGCCCATATTCACCAAGATGTCACCAAATTGATTGCTGCAGCTGAGTATTCTGCAGACGCCTCTTTGGATGGGGCTAAATTCGCATCCAGGGCCTTGGCTTCCACAGTGGTTTCTCGCCGTCTTTTATGGCTCCGTCATTGGAGAGCCGACTTAAAGTTGAAATGGAAACTTACCACGGCTCCTTATAAAGGATCTGCTCTTTTTGGTCAAGCCTTGGAGCCGGCCTTGGTGGAAGGGCGCGATAAAAAGAAGGTTCTTTCTTCTTACAGGCATCAGGACCGTCGCTTTACACCTTATACGAGGCAGCCCTTTCATGCCGAGCCAGGACCCAGCGGGTATCATTTTCAAAGACCTTCCACACAGGGGCAGTACACCTCCCTGACCGTTTGTCCTTTCGGGACAGAGGCAGATGCCAGACAGCCTTTAAGCGACCATTCCGGAGCTCCGGATTTCGCTCCTTTAGGCCGGTAAGTGACTCACCGGCCTCTTTTCCCATAGGCGGTCGTCTTCAACTGTTCTACCATCAGTGGGACACTGCTTCTACAGACGCCTGGCTTCTTCGCACCATCACAACTGGCTTGACTATAGAATTCATCTCCCCTCCTCCGAGTCGTTTTCTTCAGTGGCCCCTGTCGGCCTCTCCTCAAATGAGGCATCTCATGGAGCTAGAGATCCAACATCTGTTGGATATACAGGCCATCGAGCCGGTTCCGGAAGATCAGGTACGGACCGGATTTTACTCAATATTGTTTCTGGTTCCGAAGAGTTTGGGGGGATGGAGGGGGATTCTCAATTTAAAACAGCTAAACCAGTTTGTGTTGTACCGGCGCTTCAAGATGCATTCGCTCCGGTCCATTCTGGGATGTATCCGACAAGGGGATCTCCTACAATCCATCGATATCCAGGAGGCCTATCTTCACGTACCGATACATCCCAGTCACAGGCGCTTCCTCAGATTCGCTTACAACGAATGGCATTATCAATACAAGGCCATGCCGTTTGGACTGTCGTCGGCGCCAAGAACCTTTACAAAAATTCTAGCGGCTTTGGCAGCTTCGTTGAGGGAACGTTCCATCCGCATCGTTTGCTACCTGGACGACATTCTGCTGCTATCGACCTCTCTCTCACAAACTCACCACGACAGAGTGTGTGTTATTCAGGCCCTACAAAGTCACGGCTTTGTCCTCAATCTGGACAAGAGCCATCTTGTTCCAACAACGTCCATTTTACACCTTGGAGCGACAATAGACTCATTGCTAGGCCATGTCTTTCTATCCCCGGACTGTCAGTCAAGTATCAAGGACATTGTGAACCAGGTGCTGTCACAAACTTCTGTACCACTTCTTCTGCTGTCCCAACTGTTGGGGAAGTTAATATCATGTATACACATCGTACCGTGGGCACGTCACCACTCACGTCACCTACAGTGGTTTCTCCTTCCCTTCCAGCAAACTGGTCAGTCAGAGTCGTCTACCAAAGTCCGGGTTTAATGTCGAGTAAAGCAGTCTCTCCGTTGGTGGGTCTCTCCAGCCCTGTCATCCGGGACTCTGTTTTTCAAGCCTCATAGAGTCACGATAACTACGGACGCCAGCCTTTATGGCTGGGGCGCTCACTTGGACTCAACCTTCGCTCAGGGGACCTGGTCTCCCCTAGAACGACAACACAGCATCAACTGGTTAGAGCTCCGGGCGGTGCGCCTAGCATTGATACACTTTTCATCACTGATAAGAAATAAACATGTACTCATATTGACAGACAATATGACTACGAAGGCTCGTCTCAATCGACAGGGGGGCACGAGGTCCAAAGAATTGATGGCGGAGACAGACCTACTGATGTCATGGGCAGAACAGCATCTCCATTCCATACAGGCGGAGCATAGTTCAGGCAAGTCAAACCTCCAGGCAGACTATCTGAGCAGGAGTCGCCTGGATCCATCGGAGTGGCGCCTGAGCCCTCACTTGTTTCAGGAAATAGCGGACAGGTTCGGCATGCCAGCAGTCGACCTCTTTGCAACGTTTCAAAACACTTATCTTCCTCGTTATTTCACTTGTTTTCCATCTCCAGGAGCGAAAGGACACGACGCCCTCAGGGCCCAGTGGCCAGAAGGCCTACTATATGCTTTCCCCCCAATTCCAATCATTCTGGGGGTGTTCAGGAAACTGCTTCTGGAACACGCAGACCTTCTCTTGGTGGCACCCTATTGGCCTCAGAGGGCGTGGTTCGCCGATCTTCGAGATCTTTCAGTAGTGACGCCATGGCGGATTCATCTCAACCAACTGTCGCTGAGCCAGGGCGCCGTTCAACACCCAGATCCAGGTTGGCTCAGTTGACCGTCTGGCGCTTGAAAGGATAATGTTACGTAAAGACAACGTTCCTTCTGAGGTCATTGCTGTTATTCAAGCTGCCAGGCGGCCATCTACAATCCGCATTTACAACGCGTCCTGGAAGATTTTTGCTCAATGGGCTGCTTCTAACCTTGTGGACCCTACCTCTGCTTCTGTCTCGGACATTCTTCATTTTCTTCAGTCAGGGTTTGACAAAGGCCTTGCCCCGTCTACTTTACGCCGACAGGTGGCAGCTTTAGCCACTGTGTTGTCAGGGGAGAGTCACCAGCAATTGTCTCATGATCGGAGAATTCAATCCTTTCTTCAAGGAGCTGCGAATCTCAGGCCGGCATTTGGTATTACAAGCTCTCACATTACCACCGTTTGAGCCTCTTGGTTCAACTTCATTACGTTATCTGTCGCTGAAAGTGGCCTTCCTCTTGGCAGTGACTTTGGCTCGTAGAGTGTCAGAGATAGCAGCCTTTTCCATTCGACCTGATCTCTGTGTCTTCTTTCCTGACCGCGTAGTCCTTAGATTGGACCCTGCTTTTATGCCTAAAATAAATTCCATTTTTCATCGATCTCAAGAGATCGTCCTGCCAAATATTTGCCAAGATCCACATCATCCACTTGAAAGGACATGGCATACATTGGACGTCCGTAGGGCCCTGCGGCGTTACATCCGATGTACATCATCGTTTCCAAACACTGAAGCCCTGTTGGTGTCATTTTTGCCTTCTTCAATGGGTCAGAAAGTTTCTTCTGCCACTGTGGGTAGATGGCTCAAGGCCCGTATATCCAAAGCATATGAAGTACAAGGGGCCCCTGTGCCTGAGGGCATTTTACCTCACTCGACTAGGAGTGCAGTTACTTCTGCTGCATGGGCTACCCAAGCTTCGATTGATGAAATTTGCAGGGCGGCCACCTGGTCATCCCTTTCATCATTTGTCCGTCATTATCGATTAGATTCATTTGCTTCTGCTGAAGCCTCCTTTGGCAGGCGTGTATTACAATCAATAATTTTCCCGACGGTTCAGGAGATGGCTGCGACTCCCTCCCAGGAATTGTAGCTTGGGCATGTCCCATTCTGTAGGATTGTCTGAGCAGCGAGTCAGGAAAATGGACGTTGTCCTACCTGAACGTCCTTTTTATGCTCGCTGCGAAGACAATCCGGCCCACCCGTTCGCTAGCCATCCCCTGCCATAGGGGGTGTTTTTTCTTTCATTCCTCTGCAGGTGTTCGCCTTACGTGATGAAAACCGTTCCAGTCTGACTACATTGACACAAGTTTCGTGAAAAAGACTGACAGGAGCAACCAGAGGGCGGGACTAGGACTGCAGAGGAAAAATGATAGGCACTCAGTACATCCAATCACACTGCTAGATCCCATTCTGTAGGATTGTCTTCGCAGCGAGCATAAAAAGGTAGGACAACGTCCATTTTTGATTTTTTTAAAAAAAATCATTGATTTTTATCCACCCTGGTTTCACAATTGTAGTGACTTCAGGTTTGCCCTGTTCTTCTCACAAAAAGTAATGCAGGCTTTCACTTATATCCGTGATGCATATATTATACTTTTCATCTGATTCATATACATGTTGAGCATGTTAAATGCCAGATGTTGATGTATAAAAAACATCTCAAAGCAAATTAAACACATTTGTGGGTTAATATATAGAATTATTCCCTTTTTTCCAGGATATTTCAGCATTTGAAGAAAACAATCAGATCATCTTATTTCAGTTACAAGAGATTTGCCTCCTTCAGCACTTCTAACAACAAAATTTATCCATCTTTTGCTCTTTTTTCTTCTTCAGCATAATGGAATTGAAAGTGGCATGCTGCCATCATCGTGTTTGGCTGGACGAGAGGAATGCTACTTTCAAATGAAAAAATATTTGCTTATTTGTAACTTTAATTATGTAACATTATAACCATCAGCTTTTCTTGGAATTAACTGCAGAAGCCCACCATTTGAAAATAATTTACAAAAGCAAAATCATCTAAAAATAATAAAAATCATGTGTTTGTTGCCAGCCAAATAAATATTTATTTTATTATTAGATTTTAATCATACCTTTATTACATTACAAGTTACTCAGGACAGCAAATATGCTAATACTCCTTCCTCCTCCTGTTTTCCTCACAACAGCCCTGTGAAGTAGGTTGAGTTGAGACAGAATGGCTGACCCAAAGTCATCCAATTGGCTTTCATGCCTTAGGCAGGACTAGAATTCGTCTTCTTATTTCTAAGTCAGCACCTTAACTACTAGACAAGACCAGCTCTCTTATTATTCAATAGCAATAATAAATATTCCTGTTGAAAGTTCTAGCTAGTACACTTCTAACAATTTGGGATGGGCATTTTCCACTCTGAAAATATTTTATTGTTTTCCAAATATTTATGTTACCATAGGTTGGGGGCCACTGCTGTATGGCATATTTGGTGAAAACATTGTGGAAGGCTATATTATGATTTAAAGGATCAGGAAACAGAATGCATTAATATTTATTGTTTCCAAGAAGGAATAACACTTCATAATTTTTCTCAGCATAATGATATAATGATTGCAAGTGCTGCTACTGGACCGTTGTATTTTTCATAAGTTTATATGCTATAAACGTAACCTTCCAATAACTGAATTGGAGTAGCTGCATTGCAAAACATTTTGAGGCTACCTCAAGCTTCAATTCTATACATAAGTGGAACAATGCAAGTGCAGTATTAAATTGGAGATGGATTTGCTGCAGTGCCCTAATTCTGTGGCATAATGAAAAATCTATGTAGATTTTTCATTTGACTGGGTTTGCCCAGATAGCTGTCCCAGATTTGGATTTGATTAAGAAAAGAGGCTATGGAATATGCTGACCTATGAATGTAGCAACTGTTTCTGGCTCATTAAAGCAGTTGTGCTTTTTCCCAAGACTCAGTGGCTTTCATGGAAGCCTCACTACAGCAGCCCTGCAACTCTGATGCTGTTACAGCTGCTTTAATGGATTGTAGATGGGTTCTGTGTTTCAAAACACTGTATCTATAGCATGACAGAATTCAAGTAAACAAGGATTGGAAATATTCTCTTTAGATGCACATTAATTTTAGATTGGTCTATCAATGGTCCATTTAATTTGGAAGTCCATTCAAAACCAACATAATATCAAAATGCAAAGGGATATTCTTAGGCACGTTGTATGAGTTTGATCTTAACTCAGTTTAATTGGGTTCCTGTTTATTTTTGTACTCAATTCAATATGCTGGACATAATTTTTGAGCCAGCAAATGGTTTGGAAGGAATTTTTCTGTTTTAAATTAATCAATACCAGAAACATTTCTGGAGTTGTTTTCTTCTGTGGTGGTATTATGGCTCTGGAATATTGAAACTTATTGTTATTGTTCTTTTAGAATTTACTTAACTTTTTATTTTGGTTTGGCTTTTAATGTGTAATATTTCCTCATTTTTCTTGTATTGATTTATGTTTATTTTTTACTCTTCAGAGCATACAGCAAAGTGTACCACATAAATGATTGTTTCATAACATAATGATCCGTAATATTTGAAATACTTTTATTAACAGCCTCCGTACTTTTCTGATGGGTTCTTACAAAGGCAGACTGAAGACTTCATCAAAATTAAGGAAGTAATTGCCTTCTTTAATACTCCTAAATTGAGGTGGATAATGTGGGAGAGTGTGACATGGAGAAAGTAGTATCTATCTGCATGTTGAAATGTTCCAAGTACAGATTTCCAGGTTTTTGCTGTTATTTTGTGACTGCTAACTTAATCACAGCTAGCAACTAAATAACTTTTAAATGTGCTTGGTTGGGCTGAGAAACCAAGGCAATCCAACAGTAAAAAGTAATCCTTTCTAAATTTGGATAGAGGTATCATGTAAAGAGAACAACTATTGTCTATTCAGAATCAAGGCTTCTTTTGTCTTTGGTAATATCAAATATTTCGTACTTATTCCTATTGCATTCCAGGAATGGAATGACCTGGAGGAGAGATTTTAAAGAGAAAGGAGCAGCTAAGAGGGCTCAATGGAAAACTATATAAATGATTTTATCAGAAAAATATAAATTTGGTATTTTAACAATACCTGACCTAGTCCTATATAAAATTAGCTTTTTGCACATGTCTTGATAATTCACTTTTAATATATTGAAATATTATTACTCAATTTTACTTTTCAAAAAATTATATGCCATAGCCATAATTCCCACTGCAGATTGATAATGGAGAAAAATTCCCTCATCTCAGAACTAAACATAGGCAAAGAAAGAACAAAGGTAAATTCATGATAATAAAGCTTCTCAATAGATGTTAATACATTTTTATCAGAGGGGAAGGACATTTAAGGCAAAACACTTATGACATACTAGTACAGAGGATTAGGAAGGTATGTCCAATGAAGCAATATTATAAATATGAAACTCATGGCTTGAAAATAGTTTTCAGTATAATTGAAAAGTTTGCAACAATTATTCAATGTATAGATGCTCACTGATGAATGAGCAATGGTAAATCTAAGGAAGGTAATGGTCAGTTAGTGATAACAGATCTATGCTGTGTTGAATGATTGCCTTATGGTAGTACATTACCAAGAATGGTAAAATGTAATATATCATTTCAGATGTCACTTCAGATATTTTCAAAGTAGTGGAAAAAGCCTGCAAACATTGTACAATGTGTATGTCCTTTGAAAATACTGATGTCTCATGCAGTGGCTTACAATCCAGTTAGTCATAATATTTGGTATTAGGTCATGTAGTATTTGGTCATGCGTTGAATAATCTTCCTTTTTCCCCTGTGGAGCTTTTAGGATGAGCTTGCAAGAGGAACTGAAAACAAAGACAGGAATGTGTTTATGACCAGAGGCTAGAATTGCCTTGCTCTGGTGCATGTTTCAGAAAATCTTGCTTTTCTGTTAAGCTATGAATCAAGCAGTAAATGTTCAGAATTGCAGTGAGAAAATTAAAATAGAGTCAGATTATAATCAGCCCTTGCTTATTGTGGGTTCCTGAGGAAACACTGAGCTGAACATGAAAATGGGACAATTGAGTACATTAGTTAAATAATTCTGCAGTTAAATACAGTAGTTGAGCTGCCTCCTTCCTTAATTAGTAGTGAACAGACTTCTTTTAATAATTTCCAAAGCTCTTTTTTGGTCTGCAAAACAAAACCATTATCTTTTATGTGAGTTTTGTTGTTTTGAAGAACATTTTTATTTGTTGTAGAAGCATTTTCTTTTTTATTGGTTGTGCATATAAATATCTTACAAATAAAGGATTTCATGGAATTATTTGTGATTAGAAATTTCATATGGGTTGGCTTTTTCATTTGCATGAAATCAAGATAATCAGGTGATGTTATTTCTTTATTGTATCAAACATACTGTCTATTGACTCATTCTGCATCTCTCACACATAACCTTGCTCTCTCCCCAACCCAGTAACAGTCACTTGCCTAAACAGAAAAAGAGAAGTATGGTATCCTCAAAAAGACTAGTGCACTAAGGGCCACTCATAGACACGAGGGCTAGCCAGGTCTTTCTTTCTAAGGAGCGCCAGGACAGTATCCAGACCTTGATACGCCAAATTCAAAGGGATGGAGCAGTTCCGGTGGCGCTGTTATTCTAGCTCCTGGGAAGATGATTTCTTGTGTGGCCATAGTGCCTTGGGCAAGGTTCCATGCCAGGCCACTCCAATAGTTTCTGTTCCCCTACTGGGGGGGGGGCTGCACCTCATCAGCAAGGGTTCAGGTACCACTGGAGGTGCTTCGCTCGTTCTGTTGGTGGAGGTCTGGAGCCATCAAGAAGGGCTGTTTTTACAGGGAGCTCAGGGCTGCCTGTTTGGCCCTCAAGACATTCCAGAGGGAGGGGGCCGGGCACCATGTCCTCCTCCTGACAGACAATATCACGCCAAAAGCCCACATCAATCGGCAAGGGGGGACTTGTCCCTCATGAAGAGATCTTGTGTCGGTAGGCAGAGACTCATCTTTTATTGATACGGGCAGACCACATTGCAGGAGTCGCCAACGTGCGGACAGACTGATTGAGCCGAGCCACTATCAATCGGAGTGGTGTCTATATCCCAGTCTGTTCGTAGAACTCGCAGACCGATTTGGCCATCTGGTTCTGGATCTCTTCGCCTCTTTGACAAACTCTCACCTTCCCAGATTCTATGTGAGGTTCCCAGCACTGGGGGCAGAAGGGGTAGATCCGCTGAGATGCCCTTGGCCCAGTGGGCTCTTGTATGCCTTCCTTCCCCTTCCCCTGATCCCAGCAGTAATCAGGAAGGTGCTGTCAGAGAGGGCGGAGGTCCTGTTGGTAGCTCCCCACTGGCCCAGACAACTGTGGTTCACCGACATGGTTGGCCTGTCAGTCACCAGACCCTGGAGGATTCCCCCGGACCGGGTCTCCCTCAGCCAAGGTCCCGTCATCCATCTGGACCCTCAGTGACTCCAGTTGACCATTTGGCGGTTGAGCGGAGCCTTCTGAAATGGGAGAAGTTCTCCAGTGGGGTCATATGGACAATCCAGGCAGCCAGGCGGCCTTTATCACTTGCATTTACAATGCAACTTGGAAGACATTTACGGACTGGTGTGCCAAAGGTCACATGGACCCTACCTCTGTCTCAGTGGCAGATGTACTGGAATTTTTGCAGGAGGGCCTGAAGAAGGGGCTTTCCCCGAGCACATTGCGACGTCAGGTCTCAGCCCTGGCCTCAGTTTTGAGATTTGGGGACTTAGGCTCCCTTGCTCACCAACCAAGGGTACGGGCCTTCCTCAGGGGGGCCTCCAATTTAAAGCCCCCGACAGTACACTGTTACCCCACCTGGGACTTAACCATGGTGTTACAAGCCCTTATCAAGGCACTTTTTGAACCCCTAAGAGAGGCCAGCTTACGTCTCCTCTCATGTAAGGTAGCTTTCCTTGTGGCCGTCACGTCTGCCAGACGGATTTCGGAGTTGGCGGCATTATCGGTGAGAAAGGACCTCTGTGTTTTTCATCCAAGCAGGGTGATCCTTCAGTTGGACCCTGCCTTTCTTCCAATGGTCAACTCCTTGTTTCACCTAGCACAGGAGTTGATCTTACCTGATTTCGGCCCACAGCCTCGGCATGCCTTGGAGCAGATATGGCATACTCTGGATGTTTGGAGGGCCCTCCGTATTTACATCTCAAGGACCGCTTCCATCAGGAAGACTGAGTCCCTGTTTGTTTCCTTTCAGCCGTCAATTCTGGGCCACGGTGTCACCTTCCACGGTAGGTCGTTGGCTGCGGGCATATATTGCCCATGCCTATGACCTTCAGGCTCTCCCGGTGCCTCGAGGAATCATGGTGCATTCCACTAGGACTGCTGCCACAATGGCGGACTGGGCTACACAGGCTTCTGTAGAAGAGATTTGTCAGGCGGCGACATGGACATCCCCATCGCCATTCATCCGCCACTACAGACTAGACTCTTATGCCTCCGCTGAGGTGGCCTTTGGCCGATGTGTCCTGCAATGGGTGCATGAGACCGGGACTCAGGACCAAAGCAGTTCCCGGCCGTAGGACTGCCAAGCTTTGGTATGTCCCATCCTGGGAACTCTCCTGTCGATACTAGAAGAGGCATTGGTCTTACCTGATATGCCCTTTCTCATAGTGATCGACGGGGGAGTCCAGTCCCACCTGGTTGGCTGCTTGGTCCGGATTCCAGGGTGAGGGACGATTGTTTGTTTACAGATGGATTTCACCATTTGCTTCATCTTCGTTGTCAACTGGGGAACGTTACCAGGGAGACCTGTCCTCAAAAATTCAACTCAGTCCATAGAGCTACGAGCCTAGAACAACCCATCCTGGACTCTCCCATCGATCACCATGAGAACGGGTGTATCAGGTAAGACCAATGCCCCTTTTGTTGAGATGTTGCCATTGGAGCCTATCATGAGAAATTTACATTTTTATTTTAGATGGTATGTCCCATATAAATCCACCACTTGATTATGATTTTTAAAATAAAAATTTCTTTAAAAAAGAATGGAATGATGACCTTATTATCAAGCAGGCCAATCAATACTTGTGACATCACCACCTCTATTTCAGTTCCTTTTTTTAGAATTTGAAGGGGGTTTTTGGCTAATGGGAGGACTATCATTAGATATCTAAATGGATCCCAGCATATCCTTTTTTTAAAAAAAGATAAAATAAAACTATTTTAAGTATTCTTAAATGAAAAAAGTGAATTGACTTTAACTGCTGACAGGAAAGGACTAAATGCAAAGCCTTGCCAGCTCCATTGATAAATATAACTCCATAGACATGAATTAATAAATGAAATTAGTGGGAGATAAATTCACATGTACTAACTAAAGTTATTATTGTACCATTCCGGAATGCAAAACTAGATAGAATGCCTTTGATTATTTTTCATTACTTATTTATATTTTTATTATATGAATCATACTTTTTAACATTTGGCTAGCGTTAATCATATATCTGATTGAAGGAGGCAGGTAGTAGTACTGATGGACAACTTTTCCCCTAATGACTGTTGTGGAATAGAGTCTGCCAAGCCTAGTCCTTCCAGGAAATACCTGGCTTCCTGGCAGCATCCTCTTTCAGAAAGTAGGGAAGATCCCAAATAGATTAGCTGTTCTTGATGTGATTTTATCAGTAGAGAGAACTTCACAACGACCCGAAAGACTGGCAGAAAGTCACAAAGCTAGAGTGGCTTTCAAGTTAAAACAGCATACAGTATCCAAAAATGTATCTCGTTTTTCAAAAGGTATATTTTAATTATAAAATTTTAATCAGGACAGTGGTAAGTGGGATTCCATGATAAGAATAACTCAAGATAGATAGAAGTTCCTAAACAAAGAGGTACTATAATTGTAAACAGTGACAATAGTTGGAAAAATGGAGAGCAGCAGAAAACAAAAACTATTTGACTTACACAAAAAGCTTAGTGAGTTGCTGAAAATGAAAAAAAGAGCACATTAAAGAGGATTAGATACAAAGGAAAAGTCAGACAGGTTGCCTAGAAATGTAGAATTGATATGAAGAAAACTAAAGCTTGGAATGAACTAATGATAGCAAATACGGAATAGACTGACTGACTGACTTTGATTGCTAGGAATATTCTGGAGTAATTCATAAATTGTTCTGAAAACTGAAAAGAAAGCATGTACTGAATGAGTAGAATTAGTCTGTACTCCTAAAACATTATCAAATTGACAGATTCAGATAGTTGTTTATAAGGAAAGTATGTAAACAAATATAATTTAGTGGTGGCAGTTGACTGAATCTGTCAGCTAGCTTGGCTGTGCTCTTTAAAAAAACATGCTGGTAATTCTGAATTTTTAAGTCTAAATTATAATTATTTCATGTGGAACTCTATTCTGTCTGGTCTTTTATGGCTTTTAAGTTCCACTTAATCAGATTTATGTACCTGGCATGGACTGGTAGCAGTTAAGTTCAGACTTTTCCTTATAACCTAAATTTGGGAATCGATACAGATATGTATATATAGGCAGTCTATGCTTAACGACAGTCATTGTGACTGGAATTTCTGTTGCTAAGCAATGCAGTCATAAAGTGAAATGATACTTGACCATATCACTTAGTGGTGGCAGTCCCACCATTGATGCTGTTAAGCAAGAATTGTGGCTTATTAAGCAAGGAATTCACATGACTTGTGACTTCCTACCTTGTGAGGTCTTTTCAGCTTCCCAGAAGCAAAGCACTGCCCTTTTCTGAGGAAGATGGGCAGTTTAGAGGTAGGAAATATTAAACGAACAGTCAATTGCGAAACCAGCAGGAAGTTGTAAATCCAGAGAATTTTACAAGCGGGGTGGGGGTGGATGCTGTGGTGCCACATGATTGCAAGTAAGTATGGGAAGGGGATCTGTGGAGACAGATGTGGGGGTTCTGTGGATGGGCACACACTACAGAGTACAAATCTCTGGGAATCCAAATTCCTTTTAGCAGGCTCTTCGGGAAGAAAAGCAGCAACTTAGGGGAGCAACTTGCAACCTTTCCCATTGACTTTGCTTGTGAGAAGCTGGCAAGGAAGGTTAGAAATGATGATTACATGACCATTGCAAATGTTGTAAGTGCAAGCTGGTTACCAAGTGCCTGAATTATGACTGAAAAGGTTGCAACAGTTGTAACTTTGAGGACTATGAGTCTCCTTTGGTGCCATCGTAACTTTGAACAATCACTGAAAGAGTGGTCCTTAAGCGAGGACTACCTGTAGACATTTTTTAGAATGGCTCCTTAAAAATTAGACCGTTATTCGTTTCTCTAATAGTTTCTCTAGAAATATTCCATGCAAGTAGCACTTGCATAATTTTAAGAATGTCTGTAGAGATTCTCAGTCATCCAGGTCATGGTTGTCCCAAAGGTGCTTTTTCAGGAGGCAACTGGACACCTGCAAGCAACTCTTTTCAGTGCAACCATTCATAAAATCCCAAAGGTGTTCTTTTAGGAGCCAAGGAAGTCCAGTTGGCTCCTGAAAAAGCATCTTTGGGATTTTATGAATGGTTGCACTGAAAAGAGTTGCTTGCAGGTGTCCCTTATGGGAATGTGAAGTGGATGGATCATGCTGGTCTTTTGTTGTCCTTAAGATACCAAGTGCTGATTCTCGGTTTTCTTCTGCAAGCTTTATTGCAAATACTTTTAAGTGGAGCAGAAACAAGAGTTGTCATAAAAAGTAATAATACTGCAAAATGTTGGGAGGGAGCAGCCATATAATTTTGTCTCTTCATCAGCCCTTGTTTTCAATTAATAATAGACAATTATTGGTTTGCTTATCACTTAGCCAAGCCACAGTTTAAACAATCATATCTCTTTGAATTATTTAATTAGTTTGGATTGTTTTGTCTGTAGCTCTCAACCACCATCTATTAACTCATGTTTAATAGATCAGTATACATGCTTGTTGCATCTTTTATCCATCTCGTGTATAGCGTGAACATCAAGTCATCATATAAGTATAGTTCTTTAAAAATGTTTGAGGGAAGACTGTGATAGAATAAGAAAATAAGAGTAAATCATCCCTTACCATTTTTCCTTTTCTATTAGCAAACTGTAATCTTGTGTATGTAGGCACTTTTCAGTTCTTTTCCCTGACTGGTAATAATTTCTTCCTTATATTGTCTGCTGTAATAAAAAGCTAATGTTAGATAAAGTAAATGACATCAATTTTTCAAAATATATGAAGTATTACAGGGTAAAATTAGGACTATTTTAATTTCCTTAGCTTTTTAATACAAACTGGAAATCTGTTTGTGCCTCTTTTGAGTAAAGGATGCATACAAAAAGAAGTGCATTAGAAGGAAAACTCTGCATAAAATATATACAGGTAGTCACAACCACAATTGAGTTCCAAATTTATGTTGCTAAGCAAGATAGTTATTAAGTGAATTTTGTCCAATATTATGACCTTTCATGCCACAGTTGGTAAGTGGATCACTGCAGTTGTGAATCTGGCTTCCTTGTTGACTTCGCTTGTCAAAAGGTCACAAAAGGATTATATGACCCATGCAACCGTTATAAATATGAGCCAGCTGCCAAACATCTGAATTTTGATCACATGACCATGGGGATGCTGTAATGGTTGTAAGCGTGAAAACGGTCATAAGTCACTGTTTTCAGTGCTGTTGTAACTTCGAATAGTCACTAAATTAAGTGTTGTAAATTAGGACTACTTGTGTATCAATGAAAGCAACATACCAAATTCTTCTAAATGTGTTTTTAAAATACACTTATAGGAGAAATTTGCATCAAAATCCGTATGAATTTCCATAGGAATTTTTTTTAAGTTCAAACAATAAGAATTTTTGTAACTACAATCAGAAAAAATCATCAAATTTACTATTTACTATTCTCCTCCCCTCCCCTCCCTTCCCCTCCCCTCCCTTCTTCCATTCCATTCTAATTATTTTTGGCAATTTGTGCTCAATGTAGTATGAAACAGGATAGGAAAAGTTTTATTTGAAAGGCCCTATTAAAAACACTAAAAATTAAGTATAGTACAATTAATATTATACTGAGAAACTGATATTACTGAAATGCCTAGTACAGACTGGAGCTGGAAAGGCCAGAGTTTTGGATTACCTTGGGTCAATCATTATATCCCAGATGACTGAGTCAACGTATTTCATATTTGAAGTAGGTTTTTGATATTTGAAATGGTTGTTTTCAATTTGAGATTTTTGTTTACCCTTCTTTGTGTCTGTTAGAACGTGGTATCAAGCTGTGTTGTCTTCTACCGCCAACTGTTAATGACTCCAGGTTATGTCTAGTCTTGCTGATGATGAACAGTTATTTCAGAGGAAGATGATGTGAGCTATATAGAAAGACAGCTTTCTGTCTTTCCCCCAATGTTTTGTACATTTTTGATAAAGATTTATTTGTGTATTTAATTTGTAAGGCAATACTGTTTTTCAGGATTTCTTCAGAATTTCAGATGACTAAGCATTCATTGCAGTATTTGGCTTCCTTATATTCCCGAGTATGTACAGCCTGGATATTAATAGCTTGGTTCACATATTGTGCTAAAACAATTGCTTTTGACAATGATGTATTGAATAAATTGCATGAAATTATAAACCTTAGTTTGCAAATCACAGTAGCTTGAGTTCATAAAATCAAGTAAAACCACATTATAATTTAATGTGATGTATGGACCTGGTTGATCCATTTCTTAACCTTCTTGAATAGTTTTAGCAATATGTCTTGGTTCCTATCTTTTTTATTTGCCCTCCATGTATGTTAAAAATGTCACCTCCAAAAAATATTTGCCTGTCACAGACATAATTGATTACAGTAGTTGACATCCTTGTGATTATGGGAGAGATGTGTAGATTCACAGAACCAACAGTCAACCTTCAATAGATAACCATACCCCTTATCTGTTTGGTTGAAAAAGTGTGAGATAGCTGAAATAAGCAGATGTACAGTTATTGATTTGTATGTGAAATTCACTGACAGGCAAAATCTTTTTGATGTGCAAAAAAAGAAACAATACCCTTCCTCTCTAAGGGATAGGATTCAATATGACACAGAATTTGTGTGTGGACAACAAAAGGTATGACCTAGATGAAAACTGGATATACATGGAAGTTTAGCAATAAGTGGAAACCACTGCAGGTTGCTTCTCTTGAAAGTATTTCTCAAATGCTCAGATATTTTATATTAATGCAAGGCTCCTCAATTTCATTTAATTAATGTTCTTTGCATTTAAAGCCAATTGAGATAATCGGTAGAAATGAGAAGAGAGCAGTTTTCAGGCTATCAGTCTTTCTTTTGTATCTTCAAAATAGTCAAATGCTATCTCTTCCAATGTTAACTGTAATGGCATTAGCTTCCTTCCCCTTCAGATTAGAAGATTGTACTGAAGAGCTATTTTGAAGAAATAAGAATAAACAATCATTTATGATTTTTTGTTGTTGTTGAAGAAGTAGAAAACTGCATTAGCAATAGCCAATGAGATTTCAGAGTAAGAGAGATCTGGAAAAGCTAATACAAATACAAAGCATATATCCCTGAAAGCACTTTATAAGACACACACATATCTTCAGTCGTGGAAACATCATTAAATATACTGCTAATATACTAATAATTATGTTTTAATACATTTAATTAAAATGGTTATTTTTCCTGGTCTATTTTTCACTTTTTGGAGCATGGGTCTAGTACACCAGTTAAAGACTGAGTGCAGGATTTGGTCACCAAAATTGTGCACCCCAATTTAGTAACTTAACAAATTCAGATCTTTTGCCTTTTTTGCTTGAAGTACAGCAAATAATCCTACAGCATTTTAAGCTTAATAAATATCTGGCATAATCCTGTTTTCATCGTATCCTTAATTTTCAGCAATCATTATGAAAGAGGACTCCAGGGGCCACAAAAAAGTAGGCTTAGGCACTGCTATAGACACCCATTCCTTTTTATATGATGAATAAGGTTGGTAAATTATTTATCATAATATTATACAAAAGACTAAGTTATTTCTATGGAAGTAGTAATATAAGTGGATGTGTATACATATTACAACATGATGTACAGCTTTCAAATTATATTTACTTAATAAATAAATTAGGGAAATCATATTGAAATTGTGTATTTCAACTATGAACCGTTGAAAACCTCTTTACAGAATTAGATATTTAATTTATTCATTGTGTTTTGTATTTCTTTCTTCATACACAGGTTAGTTTTAGTATTCTTTTATTTATTACCTATTAATTTATGTTTGCTGTGGTGCATGCATTCAGCTATATTCTCTCATTCATTTTGAACAAAACAGAAAACAGTCATTTTTTATCTGCTAGTATGTGTCACACTGGGAATCTGAATATGGCTTGTGGAAGCAGAAATCCTCAAGTGATTTTAGCTGTTTGTTATTATCTTTGACACCCACTTGGAAAACTAATCTACCTTTTGCGCCTTTTGCCAAATTCTGCCGCTTATTCCTTTGTATTTATTCAAAGCATTCAGGGACTGGCATTTGCTGTATGCAGGAAAGTGGATAGTGATAAAATATAGATATCTTTTGATAGGATCTTTTTGTGTAGTGCAGCCCATGGAATCTGTCCAAAGCATGGTCCTGTACAGCTGGGTCCCATAATGCGGACAGATGCTATTAGAAGTCTTAGAGAGTGTGTAATGACATCAGGATTTAATTTTGTTATTAGATTCCTTGCCAGTTTCATTTAACTAGAAGCTAAAGATTGATATTTTTTTTCTTATTAAGAGGATGAAGACAAGCATGTGTTTACAGCAGTTAGTCTTAAAAATTGAATCTGATGATAAATAAAAATAGACAAAACCATTTTTCAGTGTGTTGATATTTTGAGTTATTAAAATAACTTTTTAAATATGTACATTGACTGCTGACTTTTGAAAGCTAACTATTCTATTGCATTGCTTTTTTAAATTGCTAGCTTTTTTTTTTTTTTTGATGCTTTGTAATTATATGTAAAATCAAATCACTTAGTAACCTTTTTCTTAATAATGAAATATGGTTAACATTATAGCCAGGTTAAGTGGGATGGTGATTGAATTGGACTGCTCTTTTTAATTTGTTCATAAGTGAAATGAAATGAGGGGGTGAGCAGCCGTGGTATAATCATGTCTGCTTAAGAATATGTAATTATTTATGAAAATTAAAATAGAAATGTTAATGAAGGATTCCAAAAGAATCTTTCTAAACTGGATACATGGGATTTTCTTAGCTTAAAAAAATAGCAAATGTAGAAGAGCAGGCTGCTTAGAAAAATGCAGGCACCTGTGCTGCCTTCTTCCCTTTGCATGTGAGCCTGTTCCCCTGAGTCAGCACAACAGAGTTGCTAATGAAACTGCAACCTTGAAACAGATGTGAGAGGAGACAGGGAGAGATGTGTGTTTTGGAAGCTCTGCAGCTAGCAGCTGAGTAAAAGAAGGTGGTGTTTCTTCAAAGAGAGTGGATGGTCCGCAGGTAAAGGAAGTATAGAAGCACAGCAAAGCATAGTGTGAAAAGGTGCAAATACTCTACATGCTGATTGTTAACAGAAAGAGAAAGAAGAGATCCCAGAGAGCAGAATGGGAAAACTCATCGCCGCCAGATCGCCACCACCAATTTGATGCAGGATTGCTGCAGGACAACTCAACACAGTCAACTCATTGTGAGGGCAACTCATCATGGGTGGCCAGAGAGAGAGAGAGCCAGGTGGACGGGCAAGAGCACGAGTGGGCAGAACTCAGTGGGTGCGGCGAGCGGGTGGTAGAGTGGTGGGGTATATGAGTGAGGGGGGCAGTGTGTGGTGCCTACGCGACGAACACCAGGAGTGGGGACAGTGGACGTGGCAATGGTGACAGGCAGCTGGAGGGAAGAGCTGAGAGAGGGAGTAGGCACAACACATGGGGTGCAACTGGTAAGTGAGCAGGTGGGCAGAGTATGTGGGTGGGATGCAGCAGGTGAGTGAGCAGATGGACAGAGTATGTAGGTGGGATGCAGCAGGTGAGCGTGTGTGCAGAATGCATGGGATGGACAGAATATGCAGGGTGCAGCGAGCAAGTGGGTGGGCAGAGTTCACCAAGCCTCTTCCACCTTGAATCTGATGAGTAGGTGTGCACTCTACTCATCGATTTGCTCACCACCCCAGTTCTATCTAACTGCTTGCTCCTTCACCCAGCTTTCCCTCCAACCACCCTTGCCACTATTGTCCCCACCGCCCCCCACCTCTTCCGCATGGAGCCTGGCCCAGTAGAGGTGTGCTCTGCCCACCTGCTCACTCACCTGCCCAGTTCTTCTTCTCCCAACGTGGTCATCCTCTCGTCACACCCTGCGGGCTCTGCCCTCCCGCTCACTTGCCCAATCGACTCTCCCTCCAGCTGCCTGCAATAATTTGTCCCCACAGCAAGTTGGCTGTGTTGAGTTGTCCCACATTGAGTTGGCACCAGCCAGTTGATAGAGGTGTGTTAGCAAGCTGACAGTGGCAAGTTGGCCATGGTGAATTGGTTGTAGCAAGTTGTCCTAGAACAAGAGTGTCAAACTCAATTTCATTGAGGGCCGCATCAGGGCTATGGTTGATCTTGTGGGGATTGAGGCCTACTGGGTGGGGGGCATGGCCAGCTTGATACTACTCCCCAAACTGCTGGCATGTTTCCTTTTCGCACTGGGTAGACCAGATTGAAACACTGGTCGATGTTATTATTATTATTATTATTATTATTATTTATTAGATTTCTATACCGCCCTACTCCCGAAGGACTCAGGGCGGTGCACAGCCAAACAATAAAAACACATACAATACAAAATTTAAAAAATAGAATAAAATCAAATTAAATAATTTTGGCCCCGACAAATTTAAAACCCCAAACTTTTAAAACCAATTTAAAATTGAATATATAAATACTAAAAAATATTTAAAATTTTAAAAATCTTTTATAAAAGAGGGGGAAAATTAGGCCAGGCCGGCCTGGTGAAATAGTAAGGTCTTTAAGGCGCGGCGGAAGGTGCGCAGATCCGGGATCCTCCGTATCTCTGGGGGGAGCTCGTTCCAGATAGTAGGTGCCCCCACAGAGAAGGCTCTCCTCTTGTTTCCTCTTTGCATTGGGTAGACTGGGCCAAAGCCATGCTGGCCCAATTTCCTCTTCACATTGGGTAGACTGGGCCAAAGCAACGTGGATAGACCGGGCCGAAGCCACACGGGCCAGCCCCTTATATTTTCCAGGCCAGCCCTGTGGGCCAGATCCAACCACATTGCGAGCCAGACCCAGCCCACGGGCCTTGTGTTTGACACCCCTGTTCTAGAACATGCTTAGGTTACACCTCCAAGGTTTTTCAGGTGCTCCAGAAGCATACCATGAAAATGTTAAATCCATTTTCTGTGAAACTTCAAGGGGTAGAAAGTAACATTATTGTTTCAATTTGCAGAAATACAAATTGCAGACTTCAACAAGTCAGTCCAGACAAGAGAAGAAGCTTGTATTTTTATCTGGTCACAGCACTTCAGTAGATCAGCAGAAGTGACCCTCCTCAAATTTGGATAATAATATGATGGCACCCATACTATCCAAAGCATATCAATGCAGAGTTTCAAGCTGTGGAAAATACCTCTATAGATGCTTGACATTGCAGGATGAGAACCGTTTTAGGCTATGACGGCAAAAAACCCAGAAGGCATCCCTTTGTGGCTAATATTATTAAAACAAGAGTTTTGAGCTGCAGCTCCCTTCATCATTCTAGCTATTATGTGCATTTTATAAGTAACTCCTGATACATATTGTATGATCTCTATGTTAGGGCAGGTTTATATTTGTCAGCCAAGAACATGCATTTGAAATAGGGCAAGTGGTGCATGGATGTGGTTCTTTCTGTATCTTTCATGATATATTAATTGGATTCCGTATTAAAATAAGGCACTTAGTATTCATCCAGTATTGATCAGATCTGTTTCAAAGGCTGGAGCACTGAACAGATGTTTTGGTTGAATGCTGACTTCAAAGGAGGCTTCAGATTTAGGTGCTAGTTTGTTTTTTAAATATCAAAATTTTGACTGGCTCAAGTTTACTTACGTTATTTTTAATTTTTGTCATGGCTAGGAGCCTCAGCAGTTGGAAGTGATCTAAATTCTTGTGCTGTCTTTAATTTTGTAAGCCTCTCAGAGTCACTGTATATGAGTTGAACAGCCTTTCCCCCCACCTTTTAACGATCCTGTAATCCCTTGCATCAGGGTGGAGTATTGCTTGCTGGTTGTCCTTCCTGACGCCTACACGGAGTTTTCAGTGGACAATTAACAGACAATTACGCCCAGAAACAGAAATATTTGCCACTAACTAGGATCAAACTTACGGCCTGATTGTGAGGCGAGAACTCCATTTCTAGGCCACTGCGCCCCTCCGTTGGGCAGCCATAAAAATATGTTTAATAAATAATAAATCTCTGAGTAAGCCCAATATTTAGTGCAAAGATGTTCATTTCCCATGATTACAATATTCATGCAATAAAATTACATCCCTTTTTTTTCTTGGGAAACAGTTCCAATTTTTACATTCAAAATCAAATTTGGGTATAAGTGTATCCCAGTGAATAAGTAAAGTAAGGGGCAATGAACCACTTAAAGGTAGCTTTGAGGTCAGAATTCTGTTACAATTAAATCCTATTATCTGAACATTTGTAGGAATCTTTACCCTGCCGTTGTGCGTGCCTTTTTATCCTGCTGATAAATTTATTGTTGATATAATCTTGTATTTGTACTGTCCTGTAAGATCAAGTGGTTGGTTTTTACAAGGTATTGAATTTGCAATATTGAAGGTAAGTCAGTGACAGTAAAAATTTAATTAAGTAATAATGCTCTGGTTGTTTTCATTTCCTAAGTCATAAAAGGCTTGTGCCTTTTCAACATGAAATGTAGAATGATAGTTATTGGTTGCAGAGTATGGACCAAATGAAATATGGTGGGGGTAAATCAATAAGCAAATTTTAGATGTTTGGTGTAGAATTAAGGTTGAGTGAGAGTTGCTTACCCAGCAAATTTACCATGCTTTTTTTTGCAAAATGTTAGATAATTAGAAGTTTTTCCACCAACAGGGGCTCTTTGTGATTAGAAGTAAAACTCTTCCTGTGCAGCATAGACAAGTACAACGAAATTGGAGATCCAATTCACTCCAATTGGCATATAACCCAGCCAATTTTGTTTAAATCTCCATCCTCACTCTGTAGGGGATTGGCAGACCTTGGGTCTGGGATGATGATCTGCTATAATTACCAGAGAACTGAGAGACTTAATTTGGAGATAAGAATAGTAGCTGTTAAAAACAAAGAATTTTCAAGAGGTACTAAGGAGTGGAAATCTTGCTGCTGCAAAAGGTGGGTACCTTTGAAGATTGCTTTGAAGATTAGCTGTGATTAGGAGATTCTGATTGCCTGGCAAATTTAACGTTTTTTGTAATCCGTAAACAGGTCTTCTCATTTTTCTTTCCATCTTTGTCCAGTTGTTCCTTCCCTTTTCATCAGCTTTTCTCCTATCTTGCATCTGCCTGCCTTTGTACAGAAAGAAGGAAGGATCTAGGACAATTTGCTGTGGACAACTCGCCACGGCCAACTTGCCAGTGCCAATTCGCTGTGGCTCTCTCGCAGCGGTCAACTTGCTGTGCCCATCTCATGGCAGCCAATCTAGGATGGCCATTTCACTACAGCCATCTCGTTGTGGACAACTCACTACAGGAGAACTTGCCACAGGATAATCCCCGTGGGATAGCTCAACACAGTAAATGTTGTTGTCCACTATTTCTTCTACATTATTACCATTTTTTGTCAATGGAAGCAGTGTTTAAAAAACAGTGGCGGATAACATTTATCATGATGAGTTATCCCACAGCAAGTTGGCTGTGGCAAGATGGTTGTGCAGGATTGGCCACAGCATGTTGTCCCATTCCAAAGAAAGAGAGGGGAAAGTTTTACATTTGTATGGTTTCGTATATAAAATATAGTCTGTGAAGGAATGGGTAGTACATATAGGTGGAGATCAATATGAGTACTTTATTTTACAGGCTGTTAATTCAATTAACATACATTCTTATGACGTGTGGTGTGTGTGTGTATGTGTGTACATACATACAACCTTGTGTTAGTGTCACTGACTTCATTTGGACAGTTGCTATGCAATTCCTCAACATATTCTTTTCCTAATTTTAATCTAACATATAACATGTGCAAATGTGAGCTCTAGAAAAGTTGGTGTAAAATGAACTAGTAAAAGTCCTGTAAGAAAAATAATACTTTAATCTTCATTTGTCCTTAATCTTGCTGTATTTTATAGGAAACATTACAAACATTACAATTATCATATAGGATGAAGCAGTATCTTAGAGATTGGTATATAAAACCAGCACTGATACTATTCACTGATTATTCCAACCTTCTACACAGCTGCAGATCTCCTGTATTCCAAACAGCATTTTCCATTAACTGTAGTTCAGATGGTACTACCTACATTTATAAAATATGGTTTCTTCTTTGGGTTCTATGCTGGCATTCAAAATAATTTTCAAATGCTATGCTTTTTCTTTGAGGCTGCAGACTGTAAATCAGATTCAAGATGATGAATTGTGGTGTGTATCTTTATGCACAATTCACAAGCAATAAATAAGCTTAACCCTTATGGGAATTACATAAAGCAAATGGATTTATTATTACATTCCTTAATTAGAAAAATGGGTTATTGCTTGGAAAGATGATAAGCATGAAATGAAAAAACCCTATATTAAAATTTGATATCAAGATACTATAAACCTAGGAAATTGGCTATTGAGTCAAAAAGCAGAAACTATGAGTTTCTACTAAAAGCATTGTAGGAGAAAAGTCTTGTTAATCTATGGTGGGGGAAAAAATCAGTCTGGTAGTGCCTGATTAAAAAAATTATTAAAAGCTATAAGTGAGTGTCAGATGAAATGAACTGCAATCCTTGAGAATTTATACTTCATTAAAATAGTTGGAAAAAGTGCTGCCAGGCTCCTGATTTTTTTCTATTAAATATCAATCAAGAAAAGGTGCTTAATTTATATTTCTGTGGAGAGTTTAGCTGTTAAAAAAACCCCTCAGTAATAATTTTCAATTTTAAGTTATGTTGAATTTTGTCCTTTCATTGTGCAGTCTCCTATTGTTGTCCTTCTCATCGGATGGTAAAATAGATCCTTCAGGGCCTTTTTATTTTATAGATAGAAGAGGTCATCTGTCAGAGGCACTCTATTAATTCTTTCACTGAGCAGAGAGTTGAGCTAGATGACCTTTGAGATTCTTTCCAACCTATGATGCTGTGAATATGCATTCAATGAGAAGAAAAATTGCTTAGCAGCATTCAAGTCATTTGACTCCTTACACTTCCAAAGCAACTTTCTGTGAAAAATTTAATTGTCTGTGAATGGAACAGCTTCTCTTCTAGTACAATTGTTTTCCAGAAGCTTATTTCAGATTTTTACTGGATTAACTTGAATATTCCAATCATGCAGCAATCTTTCCTACCTTAGTACTCAAGATGTTTTGGGCTACAACTCTCATTGGCCTTTTGAACATTGGCCCGGAAATCCAATACAGTTATAATGACCCAACTTGAAAAGTGATTTTTTTTCATAGGTAGGACTTGATATATTTTTTGTAATGCCTAAAATTTGCTATACACAATGTATAGGTTGTCCTAGACTTAAGACAATAATTGAGCCTGGAATTATGGTCATAAGTCATAGCAGTCATTAAACAGATCACCACATGATCACGCCTGATTTTACCTTTTATTTGGTGGTTGTGGTTTACCCTATACAGTGTGGTTATTAAACGAACCTGTTTTCTTCAATGGAGCTTTTTTCCAGAAACCGAAAGGAAATATCAGAACCAGCAAAAAAAAATGCTGAAAATTGCAGTCAAATGACCATGGCTATAAATATGAGTCAGTTGCCAAGTCCCCAGTCACATGACTGCAGGAAGTACAACCTTTGGAACTTCAGAACTGGGTTGTAAGTAGCTCTGGGCAGGTCTGTTATAATTTTGAACTGTTGCTAAGTGGAGATTACCTGTATCTAATTTGGCATAGTAGAATAATGGAGAAAAATCTGTTCCAACCTAAAGCACATTTTGTCATTGCTTTCATCATCACAGTTTATACTGACCTTAAATCACCCTTTATTGCTAAATAAGATCTGAAAAAATTGTATTAATTTAATACCTGTATTAATTTAATGTCATATTTTGCACATCATTTCCTAGAATGCTTTCTTTTATATCACTTTGCAGAAATCTTTGTAATTTAATGGGTTAATGTGGCACCAGAAGTTTGGCTTTCACAAGATTTGTAGCATGGCTGATTACCACAACAACATTATAACTTCCTTTCTTCAATGCACGAGTGTCAAACTCACGGTGTCATGTGACATATCGCAACATTTTTTTCCTTTCGTGGAGCTGGGGTAGGCGTGGCCCGTATGTGACCCATGCTCGCGGGCTGCCAGTTTGACACCCCTGCCAATGAAATCCTGCTATACAATGGGAATCCTTCATAGATATCTGGTCTTCTACAGTGGATTCCATGGGAGAAAACCAAATAATTGGGAAGGTATTCGGTTGAACACAATGATATCTGAATCAATCTTCTTTGCCAGATGCTGTGGGTGAGACGAACTGGAAATTTGAGGCACCACAGAAGAGCCCTCTATAGCACTTTAGTGCCACCTGATGGTATGGTTTCTAACTAATTGCTATCTTCATATCAAATATCCCAATAGTACCAATTTCAAGGTGCGTATCCCCACATATTCCTATTTTATTTTAGGCAGTTTGAATCCTGCAGAGTTTATGTTGGCTCTGAAATATTCACTGCTTTCTGGAATAACATTCTTGTGCCCTCTTCATCTTTCATGAGGGGCTTACACCTTTTTATACCACAGGTATGAATATCTCTTGATTAAAATGAATAGTTTATGGTGCTGTAATTGGAGGTTTGGAAGCTTGCAAGGCAAAAATTAATACTGCCTTGAGACTAATAGTTTAACGTCTGGCAGGTTCTGCCTCCTTTAAATCCTAGGTTTGTTTAGAGTCCATTATACCCTAGCCTAGCATGAAGGCCTGATTCCAACATAAATTCTAGCTAGGGTAAAATTCAATTTCCTGTCCATCCACAGACATCTCTTTCCTGCAAGCACTGTGGTGTATAGCTTGAATGTTCATGTTTCATGTCCTTGTAAATTAGATCTATTTACATCTATGTGCTTCCAGAATAATGTCATTACTTGCACCCATGTCCATGTCATATGCCAACACTTAGCCAAAAGAAAGTCAAGCTAAAAATCAGATTTGTTTAATACTTAGATGGAAGACTACCAGATGGTACGATAATCCAGGAAGTTGAAAAATTATTGTGAAAGAAAGCACTAGCAAAATATTTCCATATTGTTGCCAAGAAAACTACGTGACACATCATATAGTCAGCAGGGGCTGAGCTCAGTTTGAGTCTTTAAATTATTGAATGTTACTCTTCACTGAAGAGCTCATAGATAATTTATCAATGGCACAAAGAAATATATGCTGAATTTCATAATTTTCCCAAAATATTCCTCAACTCTTGACTAGCTGTTTAAAAAACACCACCACCAAAACCTGATTATACAGGAGTGTTCATATGTATGCAAGTGTATGCCCCACACATATTCATATACCTACATCTTTTCCTTTCTTTTTAATCTTTGCAGAAGTAACTGTTCATTATAAATATGGTCTGCCTGTGATAACACTTACAATGCCATCAAGAAAAGAACGTTGCCAGTTTACTATCAAGCCAATGCTAACAACTGTGGGCACCTTCTTACAGGACATAAAGAGAGAAGATAATGCAATTGAAAAGGTAGAAGTCTTCACAACAGGTACTAATGCTGATATCACTTTGAAAATCAAGGTTGTTCCAACTTTTCCCAGGTATTGCAAAATCTAGAAGACCTTATGAATGTTTGAAATCTGCCAAGGTTACATCCTGGCAGGACACCTACTAAAATGTATCTGCTTCAACCCTCACTGTTCTTTTCCTTCACTTTCTTTCCATTTTTCATCCTTTCACTGGCTTACCACTAAGGGAAAAAACGGGTTGCATGAAATAAATGGTAGCTCTGAATAAGACAGTGGAAGGAAATATACAGATGGCAAAAAAACTCATAGTTAGGAACATCTGCGGTTAATGTTAGATGAAATTTAACTTCTTAACTTTGTATGTTATAGAGATAATAATAGACCACTTATAGTGTTTATCCCAGAACATTTGTTAGGCAAGAAAATATATTAAATAAGAATATTAGCAATTTATCCTGAAGAAATTAAGCAGAATTCGTATGCAGTTATTGTTTGTTTGTTTCATTTTTCTTTTGTGATTAAATGAGACAAATGCTTGCTGTCAAAACAAAGTTAAAATACTTTATGACTCTACATATTTAGTTTTTATCTCTTTTAAAGTAGGTTTACTCAAGTTTCATCTACTGTAGAGTGGATAGAATAGAGATTAGCTAAAAACAGGTCTACAACTTCAGTCTTCAAGATCCCAACTTGAGTCCAAATGCTACCAAAGTCATAAATGTGAGGACCAGTCGTAGGTCACTTTCTCAGCACTGTTGTAACTTCAAGCGGTCACTAAATGAATGGTTGCAAGTTAAGGACTACCAATGTTCACATGTTCATTCAGAGTTCTATTGAGCTAATATAAAAACAGAGCACTTACATTGAATTTTTAGGGATGCAAATCTAACTGTGTAGCGGAGTGCACATTTTATAGAAGTGTGCAAAAAGTTCCAAGCTTGAAACAAAACCCCTCTATTCCATTTGTTTGTACTTCAAATAAAGTAGAGGTGTTTTGTCCCTAACCACACACTAATGGGGCTTGTCCAAGATCAAAAGACAAATTCCAGTGTAGGCTCACTTCTGTACTGCAGGCTGTTCAAGGTTCTTCAGTTGTTTAGTTCCTCCTTAGACTTGATCCACCTACTTACTAGCTACTTGAATAGCAGTTAGTCATTAGTTAGTCATCCCAAACCATTAAATGTGTGTCTTTTGGATACCTGGATCTAGGGACTCATGGCTGAAAACATATCTGCACTTTTTCTCTGCAAAACATTTTTTTGAGCAGAAAAAAGAATGCTATGCTAAATTGGATTCTGTCTCTGTTTAGAAAATTCCTTCAATAAACTCCAGAACTTAGATTCTGAAGGTAGTAGATATTTGACAGACCAACTTCATGTTGGCATTTGTGCGCTAAAACCAATTGGTGGCAAGCAGCTAGCCTGTATTGTCCAGAATGAAGCAGAACATCATTACCAATTACAGTCCCTTGGTAGAGAGAATTCTAGATGATAAACTCTGAAATATCCATTTCCAGGAGCTGGAAGTGCCTTGGTAGGTGCTTTCTACATGGATGCAATAGTAGCCAGAAGAAAATGAGAATGCAGATCTCCTATTTTAAGCAGTTGGTAGTTTGGCTAACTAAACTTGTTGGGATTGCCTCTTATTATCTCTCTTGCCCATCTTATTCATCTGCATTGAACAAGAAAGTGTTCTCCAGGGTAGGTGGCATGTTGATAAGCCTTGTGCATGCTTGGATACGGATTTTACAGAGCAACTTATCTTCTTCAAAGAAAAGCTTCCCTTGATGCAATTGCCTTGGCTTGTATTAGAAGGCTAGCCTCTTATCTCACCTTCCGGATCACTGGCACCCTTTACTCACATATAGCTAATGAAAGACAAGACCTCTAAGGTTACCTGCTCTGGGTAGAAGCAGAATCATTGACTCACCTGTAGCACGCTGGGTTGATTCATTAGCTCATATCATTTGAATGATGAGGATTGGAGCACTCATGACTGTACCACTTGCATCACGGTGAAATACAACTTTCTGTGTAGTCTCACTCTGATGGTTCTTGGATTACAGACATCACATGCTGCATTCTCTACATGAAAGCAGTTCTAGGCAGCAGACAAAGCCCCAGTGGAGGAAGATTCAAGTTTTATGCCATTGGGATATCAATAATACACGACATGTCAAGTGAGGGACTTTTATCCCAAGCTTTTTAGCTATTATGCCTACCCATGAATTATTTTGCATCTGTCTCATATACAGTGCTAGATATCTCCAATTAAAAGATGAAATTGCAAGTGATCAGAAAAAGACTCCTAATAGACAGTCACTTGCACTGAGAAACTAAAAAATAAAGAAAATTGGACAATTAGTCTACGCTTGTAAGTTTCCTTACAAACTTAAAGTTTGTAAAGTTCAATCTCCATATCCATTTTCAAGATTCCTTTTATGACACTGGAGGCAAGAAAGATCTGAATGCATAAAAAAATTATGTACGCTATTGTTTTAGTTTGTTTTTTCAAATATTTCCTTCTTATCCTTTAAGACTGTCTGAAAAAAAAAACCCTCTATTGTTGGGCTTTCTCCCAACAGAATTTTCTGTTCTGTAGCATCCACTGAAGTTAATCTTTCCAACATGGATGTGCAATACAGTTGGACATTTTTTCGCCTTCGGCTTCAGTTTCATAACTCTCTTAACTGCAGTATCTGCAAGGAATCTATAAGGACAGACTGATGAGATTCCTTCATAGAAGCAATATTAAATACCTAAATTAAATAGCATTTTAAAAGAACATTAACAGTCGATTAGGATATGCCAACTTTCAAGTTGGCATAGAAGTTGAAAGTACCAAGTTTTACTGGTCAAGACTCAAACCACATAAATTCTTCTTAATTATACCACAAGGAAAATGTTGGGTTTTCTCTCAGTAGCCTGGAGCAGAGAAACCAAAATGGGTGACAGCATAAAGGACATAAAGTTGAACTCATTCCTCTTATTCTGTGAAGCCAATGCATATGTATATACAGTTGCAAGAAAAAGTATGTGAACCCCTTGGGATTACGTGGAGTTTTGCATGAATTGGTCATAAAATGTGCTCTGAACTTCATCTAAGTCACAACAATAGAAAAACACAGTCTGCTTAAAATAATACTACACAAGGATTAGATGTTGCCATGGTTTAATTGAACATAACATGTAAACATTCACAGTGCAGGGAGGAAAAAGTATGTGAGCCCCTAGCCTAATGACTTCTCCAAGAGCTAATTGGAGTCAGGAGTGAGCCAACCTTGACTCCAATCAGTGTGATGATATTGGATGTGTTGCTGACAGTTGTCTTGCCCTTTAAAAACACACACCTGTTTTGGGTTACTGGTTTCAAGAAGCACTGTCTGATGTGAACCATGCCTCGCAGAAAAGAGCTCTCAGAAGACGTACAATCAAGAATTGTTGACTTGCATGAAGCTGGAAAGGGTTACAAAAGTATCTCCAAAAGCCTTGATGGTCATGTGTCCACGGTAAGACAGACTGTCTACAAATGGAGAAAGTTTAGCACTGTTGCTACTCTCCCTAGGCGTGGTCGTCCTGTAAAAATGACTGCAAGAGCACAGCGCAGAATGCTTCATGAGGTAAAGAAGAATCCTAGAGTGTCAGCTAAAGACCTACAGAAATCTCTGGCACATGCCAACATTTTTGTTGACACATCTACAATAAGGAAAACATTAAACAAGAATGGAGTACATGGGAGAACACCACGGAGGAAGCCATTGCTGTCCAAAAAAAATATTGCAGCACGTTTGAAGTTTGCAAAAGAGCACCTGGATGTTCCACAGCACTACTGGCAAAATATACTGTGGACAGATGAAACCAAAATTGAGTTGTTTGGGAAGAACACACAACACTATGTGTGGAGAAAAAAAGGCACAGCACACCAACATCAAAACCTCATCCCCACTGTAAAACATGGCGGAGGGAGCATCATGGTTTGGGGCTGCTTTGCTGCCAGAGGGCCTGGACGGATTGTTGTCATTATGGGAAAATGAATTCCAGAGTTTATCAAGACATTTTGCAGGAAAACGTACGATCATCTGTGCGCCAATTGAAGCTCCGCAGAAAATGGGTGATGCAACAGGACAATGACCCAAAGCATACAAGTAATTCAACAAAAAAAAATGGCTTCACAGCACAGAATACGCCTTCTGGAGTGGCCCAGTCAGAGTCCTGACCTCAACCCGATTGAAATGCTGTGGCATGACCTTAAGAGAGCGATTCACACCAGACATCCCAAGAATATTGCTACACTGAAACAGTTTTGTGAAGAGGAGTGGTCCAAAATTACTCCAGATCGTGTGCAGGTCTGATCTGCAACTACAGGAAACGTTTGGTTGAGGTTATTGCTGCCAAAGGAGGGTCAACCAGTTATTAAGTCCAAAGGTTCACATACTTTTTCCTCCCTGCACTGTGAATGTTTACATGTTATGTTCAATTAAACCATGGCAACATCTAATGTTTGTGTAGTATTATTTTAAGCAGACTGTTTTTCTATTGTTGTCACTTAGATGAAGTTCAGAGCACATTTTATGACAAATTCATGCAAAACTCCACGTAATCCCAAGGGGTTCACATACTTTTTCTTGCAACTGTACTATCACTATTGGTCTTGGAAGAAACGTGCCAATATCCATGTTTGCTCACATTATGAATTTAATTAGTCATAGGGCTGGCGTAAAAGCCAATTAATCTAGTAAACATTCTGTAGGTATGATTACTTAAGAGCAGAGATCCCCAAATCCCGGTCCATGATCTGGTACCAGTCCACAGCCTGGTACCTGGTTGGGAACCAGGTCATGCAAGCGGTGAGTGAGCAAAGCTCCATTTGTGCAAGTGGTGGGCGTGTGAGCACAAAACCATCCCACCCACCGCCACCACTGCTAGGCCATGAAGCTGGAAAGGTTGGGGACCGCTGGCTTAGAGCACGGACTGCAATGAACATGGTAAAATATTTTAAAACAAATCCATGTAGCCTTTTATTACTTTGACTGAAATGCCTTTTCTCTCCTGCAGATGGCAGCAGGATTTCAAAATCCGTGTCTATGGAAGTTCTGCTAATGAATGATTTTAAACTCATTGTCAATAATGAAGAATATAATGTACATCCACCACTGAAAGGTACATAACTTCATGACCACACTGAAATTGAATCTTTAAGGATTATCAGGCTATTTAAAATTAAAATCCAGTGAAAACCAAGAATCTGCTCAGAAATTAATTCCACTTTATTTACTGAGACTTCACTTGGAAGACAAATTGTGTAGGATACGCAGGGAGAAAGTTCCCTGGAGATTTTCTGAACATATGGATGTTTATAGTAATTGTAATGACACAAGCTTCACTCTTCTTTCAGATAAAATGAGCAAAGAGCATGCCACAGAGATAGATGACATCAAGTCAACAGTCCATAAGTTATTTGTAGCCCTTCACTTAGAAGAGCACCAGACAAGAAAAGAGAAAGAGCTAATGCAAAAAATGGAACTTCTGAAGGAAGAACTGCTCCCTTTAGAACAGGTTTGGAAAATTCTTAATAAATTCAGCCCTGTGGAAATAGATAATCAGCAAGTTAAATCTTGAATCTGTCCTGTTTCATGAGCAGAATCCGCACTATTGTCTGGGACGCTACACATCCTCTTCACAACCTGTTTTCCTTGTTAATTTCTGGGAGGAGGTTTCGTGGTATCCAAAGCAGAACATCTAGATTCAGTCACAGTTTTGTTCTATCTAGTATCAACCTTGTGAATTCTCAAGCTTCCTTTTTCTAATATGTATTCAAAATGGACAGTGATTCATGTATGTATGTATGTGTATGTAGCATGGGTGTGTGTTATGTAGGAGTATGGGTAGACATACTTTGAGCTCAGGCAACAATTTCATTTTTAATGTGTGCCATGGTGCCCACAGTAAAAAAATAACTCTTATCTATCTTATCTAATAGCTGCATTTTTCTAAATGAGGTCTACGGAGAATAACATTATTGTAAAACAATGCTTGGAAGTCTATCCAAGAATGTCTAGAAAAACAAAAAATTGCATCACAGATCATATTCTGAAGTATTTCCTTGAAAGTGGTAGCTATTGGTATTAGAATTGAATTTATATGTGAAGCTTTATGCTTAAGAAACTATTAGAATGTATTTGGATGAATTCCAAATTCCAGTTGGGAATATCAGTTTGAATACAGCAGTTCTAAATCCATTTGACAGGAGCATAATTGAACACTGTGGAATGTAACACAGCTTTTTTTGTTCCTAGATGAAGGCTAGAATTGCAGCAGATATTGATGGAAAGACTTCTCGCCTTCTATGGATTGGTTTAGCCTTAATGTCTACTCAGGGTGGAGCCCTGGCTTGGCTCACCTGGTGGGTCTACTCATGGGACATTATGGAACCTGTTACTTACTTTATCACTTATGGAAGTGCCATGGCATTCTATGCGTACTTTGTACTTACTAAGCAGGTAAGGAGCTTAAGGTGATTCAAACAAAAATTGGTTCCGACTGCTTGAAATTTGAAACGTATATGCACAAGGCTTTGAAGTATTATGCTGAGGATCCTTAACTTTTCCTTTGAGAGCACAGTTGTAGGGTATTAGTTTCAAAAGTTCTGCAAATTGTTCAAAGTTCAGTTGATCAGTAAAGACACCAATGCTTCAGGTTCTGCAAGCCTGAAAAATCACCTGTTTATTATAATGTACCACCTACCTAAAATAATGGGGTTTATGTATCTTGTGGATGCTGTGCAGGAAGGAGTGATTATCTTAGTCTCTTCCGTTCTTTTTTTTAATTAGCAGCCTTTTTAATAATACAAAGACATATCAGCTCTTATGCAATTATCTGGGGACACTAATGCTTTAAAGAAAAATAGGTTGAATCAAAGGAAAGTCCTGCTATCCCTGTTCCCATTTCCTTTCATGTAAAAATTGTTAGAAGAACTACTTCTGTGGTAATCATAATATGAGCTATGTCAGCCTTATTATGTAGATCAAACGGAAAACAAAACCAGGTAAATTAATTCTACTTTATTATAAAGTGATATTAATAGAATCTTACAAACCTGAAAGTAAAATTTCCTGGCTCCTTTACAACCTAATAAACTAGGGAGAGCATCTTCTGAGCCCCTTGTAATGCACATTATAGAGTTGAGGGCTCTGCTGTCTCTTATCTGACCATTCCCTAGGCAGCTTCTCTTCACCCTGTCTCCCAAGGTCCTTCACACATTGCCATATCCTGAAAACAATGTTTTCTAGTATTCAAGATACGTTAACCAGGTTAGGGCCTGGTGGCTCAGCAGACAGATTGCATTGTGATTAACACCAGTTGTCTGCAATTACTGTAAGTTCGAATCTCACCAGGCTCAAGGTTGACTCAGCCTTCCATCCTTTCTAAGGTAGGTAAATTGAGGACCCAGTTTGTGGGAGCAATAAGCTGACTTTGTATAAATATACAAAAGTATGAAGGCTATTGCTTAACGCATTGTAAGCCGCCCTGAGTCTCCGGAGAAGGGCGGCATATAAATCAAATTAAAAAAACAACAACTAAGAATTATTTCTACAGAAACCTGATCATGCAAATCAATCCTTAGTGTAAATCCTTAGAAACCCTTTCTAAAATTTTGAGGTATTAGTATTTGAGATATAGTTGAACTAGTACACCCCAAATTAACGTTTGTTACAAAACACTTTGTATAACCAAGCTTATAGCCTTGTTGAGCACAATTAGAATTTGGGTTATTACGTATCATGATTAAAACCTGGCTTAATGAAATCTACAAATCCACTTAATGCCTCACGTGTTTCATTTTAAATCAAGGACTGAGCTTGAAAGAGATTTTGTATTCTGCAGACTTCCACGCGTGAGCCAGGGGAGATTTCCTGTATGGTTCATTGATATTCAGGGTTATCAAACTGATTTTTTCTTGGTTTTTTTCCCCTTGTCATTTTAAGGATTATATTTATCCAGATGCTCGAGACAGGCAATTCCTTCATTATTTTCACCGGAAAGCTAAAAGCCAGAATTTCAATATGATTCTGTATAACAAGCTAAAAGAGGACCTGGAAGAGGTAATTAATCTCCTAGATCTGTCTGTCTGATTTATATGACCTTCCCACCCAACACTGGATGGTTCACAACAATAGGAGAGTACATGATATTGGATGCATAAGATACCATGGAAAAGAGCTTCAATATGTTTTCAAAGTCAATTATTTGCAACCACAACTGGCAGTTTTACTCCCTTTTCTTGTGTATGGAAAGCAGTTTAAACTTAACTTCTGAAAAGTAAATCTTTAAATGCATGTTCACAGTCCTCCAGAAGAAAGGAAAGGAATCGTGTTACATTGTGGGAGTTCTTCCAGTTCCATCTATTATAGTAGGTGCAATTAGTGTATTGGGGATGAAAATTTGAAATCTTAGTTTATCTGCTTTGCTCCCTGCAAAAGCTAATAGGTTAGCTTTAGTAGATTGTAAACGGAACCTGCCAATTTACTCAGATCTTCCAGTTAATGAAGGATGGCTTGGAGAATATCCAGTTACAACATTTGTTCACAAAAATCACAGTCATTAAGCCCAGAAATGGTAACCTAGCCAAAGTGTTAAGTCTGTCTTGCACAGACTAATTCAGCTGCTAATAACTGCAGTCAAGGTACCTTTTTCAGGCAGAGAAAATACTATCCCATGCTACATAGCACACTTACCCTGCGTCAGGACCTGTCAAACATCTGTATATTTAATGCAAAATGATTACAAATGCACAGGTTCTCTTGCTTCCTCAGCACATTCATTCAGTGTATATACTTTTGTATAATCGTTTCCTTTCTGTGACCTTTTCTTCTTTACTCTTTTAAGTATTTTGAAACACACTGCAGAATTATGGTCTAGATCCTGCAGAGGTAATCTATAATCATGTATAACTAACATGTTGCATATTTCAAACCCAATTCAACATTTGCAATTGATTTACAATTCAATTAATTCTTTTCTATGTTTTTCCTTTAGTGAAGAATAATTTATTGGATATGTATTCTGGCTAAGTACGTCCAGCATCCATAGATACAGAATAGAATGTATAAAAAAGTTTATTTCAGAATGTCTTGCTGCCTGTTAGCTAAATCAGTTTCCTAATTTTAAAAGCTAAGTGTAATTGAGTCACATTTAAGATAAAATGTAAATTCAGGTTATTTAACAAAAAACATAATGGAAGAATGTAGAATTTGATGGAAATGATTTAAAACTATTTAAACCATAAACTTATAACTTTTTTTTTCCTTTTACACTATCAGGTGGAAGAATCCTTGAAACGACTGAGAAACCCCTTACAATTACAGCTTCCAGTGCAAGAAATTAATGACAAACATTAATTTTAAGTTTCAGCCTGTTGTTCCCTCAAAAAAATCACAAACTGGACATTTTGACCCACTATATTAAAGCTGAATGTACAAGACTTTACAAAAAAAACACCAAATCATACTTTTGTATATATCATTTCTCCACAATATTCAAGTTTAGAAAGAATAATCATCTTAATCTTGGATGGCCAATCCATTCTTAATAAAACAAAACAATGTTTTTAAAGGATGGTTTTATTCTGGGATTCCTATATTTGAATGTTATTTTCATAATGAGCTAAATAAAAACAGATACTAGTTTTGGATGTCTTCTGAGTGTTCTATTTAGGATGTTAAGAAAATGTTCCTTTCACACTTGCACAAAATATTCCAATGCTGTAATGAGTTACATATGTAGCACGCATAGCACCTGAAAGGTTTATGAAAACAGGTTTCACAGGCACAAATTAACCTTTCTCAAATAATAACAATAAAGCTGGTTTGCATGGAAAATAATGCAGATGTTTCAGTTGCAGTAATTCCACAAGTTAGCAAGAGCTGCTATAACTGAAGGAGTCACAATTGGTCGCATAATTCACTTTTCCAAAATGTTAAATTGGAGGGGAACAATTTACACAGTACAGATTAAGAAAATGATTCTCACAAGACAATTACTATGTTGAAACAAAAGTATAAAAATTTAGCCATTAGTACAAAATATCCATTATAACATCCATTATGGAATGTAAACCTAAAGACAGCTAACTTTTGATTAACTGTTCCTTTATTATCCCAATGTCAAGCCTGAACTTATTTTTAAAACTCCCTGAGGATAGCAGAATAACTAACAATTTCAAAGGCTATATAAAAGTATTTCTGCCTGAGTTGTTAAACTTCACAGAAGTTTTCTTTTTCAATTTTTAATGTAGAATTTGTATTTCTGTGTGCCATTTAGAACCTGCAATTGTTGGCTGTGATTTTTATTTCATAGATCTGCTCATCTAACAATTTTAATTCACCATCTCCTGATGATCTCAGTTTAAATGTAAAATAATAAACTATATTCTAACTAAACAAACCTTTTAAATTATCAGTACAATTCTATATGTCTATTCAGAATCAACTCTCATTGATTATATTTTAGATAAGTGGATATAAAATTGATCTATTTTAACAGTATTTTTTTTGCTTTGATTCCTGCAGAGCACTCACCGCTTCCTACCACCTATGTAGCCAAAAATAATAATTACTCCACTGTGCTACTATGATTTGGGGTAAAAGTACAGTTTTTTAGTTAACATTGAAGCAAAGCAAGGGATCTGTTTTTTCCCTATAGCATTAATATCTTTGCATACATCTACCCTGCGATGTGATACCTTCCTGTTAACAAGCATCAGTAATTCTGTGAATTCCAGGGAAGCACCATGTTTTTGTATCATCTCACACAGATCTTGAATATACCAAGAACCATATAGAGTCTCCCGATGGGAATAGAAACCTATTGGAAGAGGGGGGGAGAAAGGATTACATTACTGTGTCAAGAAATTAGGTTTAGTTTTCGATCTATATTTACTAAGTAACCAAAAAAATGTTGGAGAAAAAGTGCATTTTTTGAGCTTTTTTCAATGTGCCAGCATTCTGATATTTTTGTTACATTTGTAGTATTTTTGCTTGGCAAAAATAATTTGAGGATTTTATCTGTTCCAAACCTCTAACGTTCCCCTTTTATTAACTATGTTTATATAAGTAGTACTAGCTGATCCAGTTCTGCTATATTTTCCTAATAAATACTGCATCTAGTGAAGTCCAATTATTTTAATGGTGGCCTTTGTCACGCTGACCGGGGAAGCTGATAAATGGCCGGCCATAAGAGAAAGTTCCTGATGGCATTCTCTAAAGCGAAGATGAAAAAGACTGGAAGATGAATCCTTACTGTAGCTGCATTCATTTGAGTTTGCCAAGCCACAAACACCATTTTAGCCTATTTTAATGTGCAATCCTAGCTGGTATAAGTCATTTGCGAATTCGTCTCCTAAATATTATCATCAAAATTGCATTCATAAATATAGTATGGGCCAAATAGTCTTATTTCTGCATTCATTGCAAGCATCTGCAACAAGGAAGTATTAGGAAGCTGGCTCTTTATATTGCATGGAAACCTTACATTACAGCTATATTATTTAGTTGTTAGCCCCCTAGGGTTGTGTCTAGATAAAACAAGCGGGCATATAAATTTAATAAAAATAAATAATAAATCCCTAAAGATTTATTTCTTATAGGTATTTAGTTTGCTATGTAGGCAAGGGTAGTTAATATTTGCTCTGCTGTGATGGAAATATGGGGAGCTGACACCACCCTGGTGGAAAAGAAGCTCCAATTGTGATTTACATAATGATAAGTGCGCCATCACTTCTTGCAGATTCAATTTCTATCTGCCATTTTTTATTTACGCATTAGTTTTGGGAAGGGTTTTTTTATTAGCTTTTTTTTTTTTAAATACAAAAAGACTTGGTTGTCAGTATCAATTCAACGTATAGTATGAATAACCAATAAATGATACATCAAAACAACTTTAAGCAACTATTACCCGCTTGATGAAGTTAAACTTTGTTTTCTTCTAGGACAAGGGTGTCAAACATCATGTGACATATCGTGACTTTTTCCCTTTGCTAAAATGGGGGTGGGCGTGGCCAGTGCGTGACGCATCGGGCTCACAGGCCGTGAGTTTGAAAGCCCTGTTATAGGATAACATTTATTTTTTTTACCTTCGGCCACAGAATAACACATGAGGAAATCAGCACCAGCAGGTAAAGTATAAACTGCAGCAGCGTCAACTTCGGTTTCATTGACGAGTGAGCGTTCTGTAACGCTATCCACCGTATCAGGAGAGACCGGATCATCATGCTTATCTCCTCTGCATGCCTAAAATTGGAGAGAAAAGAACTGCTAGAAATGAAATCCTGCATCTGAAATCACTTATAAATACCAACCCCGATGTAGAGCCAGAAAAGTTCACTTAAATGATTGAACATATAAATGCCCTTAATTATGCTCTGCTATAGATACCGGTGATGTTTTGTATTTTTTTTTTAAGTTGAAGTCTATTCTTACACAAGGACCCTTGTGTAAGACAAAGTCTAAGATGATTCTGGCACTTCTTCCACCCACTCATTTTCCCACTACAAATTGCCAGTCATAGACAAAACTGTTTACACACTTTGATGGTAAATCCTCAGGGAAGTTTAGGTTACATAGGTGTAAATATATGAAAGTATATCATGTTTTGACTAAATGCACCAAATGTTACACTTAATGTTTGCATTTAAAACTGATGCCTTTAATATATGGCAGCCTTAATTTCTCCCAAGAAGATTGATTTTAATCCCATATTATGAACCCAGTTGTGGAATCAAGAACTCCGCCATCTCACCTGAATTATGAATATTTTTGGCTTCCCTATCAGACTACGGCATTTATCACCTCTGAACATATTGGTCAGCTTTTGTATCTGTATTTTAGCATCATAAGCATAAACATGGTTATCTTCTCCATGGCTCAGGAAAATGCACATAAAGCAATCTGCATCTTCATGCTGCTCTCTGGACACTACAAAAATAATGATGCAATTTATCCACACAGAGAAGTTATTTTTATATTGGTGGCTATTAAAGTAGTGAGGTGTAAACTTCCTTCAGCTTGCTTTGGACATAAATCAAACCAATCCCGTTCTCCTACATGCTAAACAAAGGGTTAATTTTATTCTGAGCTGGCTTTAGAAATTGAAAAATCAATCAACACTCCTTACTCCCTGGTGCCTACTACATCATTAAAACCATCTCATCAGATGCCATGATTGCTTACTGTTGAGACCTTACAGTCTCTTCTGCTTTCTCTGCTTCCTTTTAAACGTAGCAGATAGCAGCAAAGACATCTTAAATGCTTATTTTTCACCTTGTTCTCTAAAAATTAGAGATGTGCAAAATTCACCAAATGGGAAATGCAACCAGTAGGCTGCTGTGGTGGGCTGCTGGTGGTTCGAACTAGTTCGGGAAAGCAGATAGTTCTGACGATCAGGTGGCCCCACTCAGCCACCCCCGCCCTATCCTGTCCTATATTTCCTTCTTTCTGGCTCAGCCAGAAATTCACGTGCCACAGCTGATTTCCGTACCTCCACTGTTCTACTTACCAGGGCCACCTTAGAAGGTAAGCAGCTGAGCTTCAAATTGCTGTATTTTGAACACTGCGTGCAAGCGCACGCTCACAGAACCAGTTGTTAAACCGGCTGCAGCCCACCACTGCCTGTTTCACGTGGAATGGAGTGACTGAAACAGTTCAAATGATTTCCAGTTTAACATAATTTACTTCCATAAGCCACTGAACTACTGGAATAGCATAATCTGGAGAAGGCTCAAGATGATTTGGAAGACGAACAGAATGCTCTCGAATTTTCCAGAACATTCTGTTTCTCAACTGGTGAATTTTGCATACCTACCTACCCCTAACTAAATTCACTATAAAATTGTTTGTTAATTTTTAGTTTTAAAAATGAAAAACATTACAATGTAAAAACAAAAGATTTTTTAAAAAAACTTAAAATGTCAACACTGGTTTATCAGCATAAATATATAATTCAATAGTTAATAACAAACATGATCGGAGGAATGTGAATAGCTTTAACAGGCCAGGCCTGGGAGGAAAAAAAATATATAAAGTATGCAGATCTTTCTATCTGGTTGACTCTCCCACAGTTCAATAAATTAAATTCATTAACCAGAATTATTTTCTTCACTAGGAACATTAATATTAAAAATTTTACCAATAAAATATAACCGCTAGCCAAGCCATCTACAGCAAATAAATAAACCTACCATTATAAATGTTCTGAAACACTTCTTCTGCTTTAAGGTCATCAAAACATTTCACTTCAAATCCAAGTTGAGTCAAGCTATTTTAAACAGAATAATATTTCACTCTAGGATCATGTTCATATATTCTTAACAATTCACATATTAATATTTAGACATCTGAGAGGATGCAACATTATCTAACCAGCCAGCTTTAGAAATTTACCAAAACATCACTTTCCACATTCTTATGCTAGGAATACTCCAGAAAAAAAGAATAATCTACCTTTTTAATCCACAGAATCAGATTGGGTTCCAAATTAAAATATAAATGCAACTAAAACACACTTAAGATACAATACTTAATATCAGTAATATTCTATCTGTAAACCCAACTTTTAAAATCTGTACTTCTTGACATAGTACAGTTTGTGAAAAGAATTCTACAAGTTGTTTCTTTCATTGCCTTATTCACCTGCCTAATATCTCAGCATGTGAGCATCTGAAACATTGGCCAGAAATATTTAAAGACGTGACATTTCACACAACCTGTGCCCATGTCCCGATTTATAAATTATACAATGAATAATGAAATGGCACAACTATTCACACTGTTCTAATAAAATATTTATTTATTTATTTATTTATTCAATTTATATGCCGCCCCTCTCCGAAGACCCAGGGCGGCTCACAATACACTCAAAAAATCACTATAAAAACACTTAAAAATTAAAAACATTAAAGACATTAAAACCCATTCACACCATTCATGGCCGGATCTCGTCAGATCGCAAAGCGAGATAATAAATAACTAACATAAAATAAAAAATAAATAATATTCATATAGATATTTATCATCAGCCTATGATACTGTAGATCAGAGGTATGTTTTGTTTGTTTTTTTAATTTGATTTATATGCCACCCTTCTCCGAAGACTCAGGGCGGCTTACAATGTGCTCAGCAATAGCCTTCATCCTTTTGTATATTTATACAAAGTCAGCTTATTGCCCCCCCAAACTGGGTCCTCATAGAAAGGATGGAAGGCTGAGTCAACCTTGAGCCTTGGTGAGATTCGAACCCTGCAGTAATTGCAGGCAGCTGGTCTTAATAACCAGCTTAATAACAGGGTGCCTTAAACCCCTGTACTACCAAGGCTCTTGTTTGAGATTCCTTCAACGTTTTCTAGTAATCCTATATTGCAAAAGCCATTCTTTATCATAAAGACATGCTGTTTCTGCTTCATTTCTCCTCCCATGCTCCACTATCCTTGGAATATGAAGTCACAGAACGAGAAGTTGGATATGTTCCATAGGCCATTTTTAATCTATTTAATATATTGTCATGAGCAATAGGGTCCAAGTTTTTTAAAAAAGCCACAGATGGGTTGTGTCAGACATGTGAGCATAGGGTTGATTCTGCAGATGAAAAGTCTGAAACAAACTCTAACCATCATGAGTACCGGAACTGACCTGAGCTCAAAGTTGTTACATTCTGGGACCATTTTCCTGAGAACTTTCCTCCAAACAGTGTATGAATGAAAGAGGATATACTAAAACAGTATTTTTTTTATGGTGCTAATTTTAAAATCTCGATTTCAACTCCCAGAATTCCCCAACCAACACAGTATCCGGGGAATTCTGAGTGTTGAAATTCACACATTTTAAAGTTACCAAGTTTGATAAAAATTGTAGTCAGGGTAGATAAAAATAGATGGTTTTAAAAAAAAGAAAGAAAAGAAATTGATTTTTTTTTACTTAAATCGGGTTTTTTTATTTAAATTGGATTTTTTTTTTATTTTTATCAAATTTATTTTAATAAAATGCTTTTGGAGTAAAAAATCTATCTAAAATAGTTTTTTATTTAAGATACATTAATAATTTAGTTTATCCAGCATGAAACGGAGCTTAGTTATGTAGCATGAGGCTGTATATTCTGCAATATTGGGACTGTCGGTGAGTCAACAGCAGGTCAGAGGAGAAGCTGCTGTGGAACAGATGACAGTTGCTCTTTAAAAATTATGATTTAAATCTTACACGATGAGGAAAAAACAGAAATCACGTGTTATAGACAAGATAGAATTTAGAGGTAAAGAGATTTATCAACAGAATTTAATAAAAAAGGCTTTTTTGGAGTTCTACACAAAGTTATATGCTAAAGATGCAATTCAAGAGGTTGATATTGATAGATATTTAAAGATGGAGATTCCTGAACTAACGCTGGAACAGAGAGAGAGATTGAATCAGCCAATAACTTCTGAGGAAATTGTTGGGGTAATTAAACAATTAAAAATAGGTAAGGCTCCAGGAACAGATGGACTAACAGCTGTTTATTATAAACATTTACAATCTGAAATGTTAGAACCACTCAAAATTTTATTTAATAAAATACAAGTAGGAGGAGGAGTACCACCTTCTTGGAAAACAGCCTTTGTCTCACTAATTCCAAAGGAGGATCAAAATTCCATTAAACCTGAGAATTTCAGGCCAATTTCACTTCTGAATACTGATTATAAGATTTTTGCTAAAATATTAGCTAATAGATTAATGCCAGTTATGCAACAAATAATTCACAATGATCAATCAGGGTTTATAAAAGGGAGACAAATGAGATATAATGTTAGACAAATTGTAAATTTACTGGAATATTTGGAAAAAAATAACCAAGTTCCTGCAGCGTTTATATTTTTGGATGCAGAGAAGGCATTTGATCGTTTGAACTGGCAATTTTTGTTTAAAATAATAGAGAAAATGCACTTTGGGGAATACTTTTCACAATCAATTAGAGCGATATACCAGCAGCAAACCGCACAAATTATAGTTAATGGAGGTTTAACAGAGGCTTTTAAAATTGAGAAAGGAACAAGGCAGGGGTGTCCTCTGTCCCCACTATTATTTATTTTGACTCTGGAGGTACTATTGAACAAGATACGTGACTCAGAAAAGTTGAAGGGTATTGTAATTAGACAACAAGATTATAGATTAAGAGCATTTGCAGATGACTTGGTTATTACCTTATCCCAACCTATAGAGTCAGTTCCATATATATTGGATATAATTGATCGGTACGGGAAAGTATCAGGATTTAGAGTTAATTCACATAAGACAAAGATGATAGTTAAAAATATGACTATACTTGGAAGAGATAAACTAGTAAGATTAACAGATTTTGAAATAGTTAAAAAGGTTAAATATTTAGGGGTATACATAGCAGCTTCAAACACAAAATTATACAAAAACAATTATGAGGTACTTTGGCAGAAGGTACAGAAGGATATGGAAAATTGGAAAAAATTACAGTTGTCTTTATTGGGTAGAATTGCAGCAATTAAAATGAATGTTTTACCTAGATTTTTAATTTTGTTCCAAATGATACCTGTGCTTAAGAAAGATGAAAATCTGAGAGAATGGCAGAAAGGTGTTAATATTTTTATTTGGGCTGGGAAAAAACCCAGAAGAAAAATGAAAATTATACAAGATACACGTGAAAGAGGGGGTCTTAAAATGCCTAATTTAAGATTATATTATGAAGCAGCGATCTTATCACAAATTAGTGATTGGTTTAATTTAACTGAGGGGAGAATTTTGAATTTAGAAGGTTATGATTTGTTATATGGATGGCATGCTTATTTGTTATATGATAAAAAAGTGGATAAAGTATTTAAGGTTCATATATTAAGAAATGCTTTGTTAAGGGTTTGGAAAAAATATCAATATAAGTTAAACTATAAGATACCTTTATGGGCAAATCCTAGACATGCAATAGAAAATATAAGTACAGAACAAAAACAGGAGGTGATTACCTACAAAGAGCTTCTTATCATGGAAAGGGGGGTAATGTATTTGAAATCTTTAGATATACTGAGAGAAGAAGGTATAATTTATACATGGTTTCAGTATGGTCAACTTCAAGCTAGATGGAAGGAAGATCAAAAAACTGGCTTTGTGCAAAATGAGGAGAATTTGGTAAAACAAATTAGTGATCAAAAACAAATGCATATTAAAAGGTTGTATAACGTTTTATTGGAAATAGAGTCTGAGACGGAATTGGTTAAAGACTGTATGATTAAATGGGCACAAAATTTTCAAGAGCCAGTAATGATGGAGACTTGGGAAAAGATTTGGATTAGAAATGTGAAATTTACACAAGCACAAAATCTAAGAGAAAATTTTTATAAAATGTTTTATAGATGGCATTTAGATCCTAAAAAATTATCATGTATGTATTCTAATGTGCGAGCTAAATGTTGGAGATGTGACTGTGATGATGCAACTTATTATCATATATGGTGGACTTGTAGTAAAATCAAAGCATTTTGGATAAAGATTTGGTGGGTGATGCAGAATATTTTTAAAAAGAGACTGAAATTTACTCCACAGTTGTTCTTATTGGGTATAACTATGGACTGTACAGTTGCAGAGACTAAATTGATTTTGAACTTGATAACAGCAGCAAGATTGTTGGTAGCACAACACTGGAAGAAGGACTTTTTGCCTACTATTGATGACTAGATATTGAAAGTAACTAATTTAGCTGAAATGGCTAAAATTTCAGCATATCTGAAGGATCATACACAAGAAAGGTACATAGAGGATTGGAGAAGATGGATTGATTATATACAAAATAAGTATCAGACCAAAAAATATCAAATAGCTTATGAATGATTTCTTTTATTTGTATAAGTGTTATATAAGTGATATTAGAAGTATTATGTTTAAAAAATAGGATTTTATACATGGGGGGTTAAGAAATTTTTTTTTAGGGGTGTTAGTTTAATGATTGGTTATCCAATTTAGTTTATTGTTAAAGGTCAATAGAAATACCTTGTGTTCTGCTCTGGGAAGTCGGGGAGGGGGAGGGGGGGTTGGGAGGGGGGGTTGTGGGGAAAATGTGTATTGTTTTAAAACTTTTTCAATAAAAAAAAAATTATGATTTAAATCGAGTTGATTTAAATCAAGCCTTTTTACTTCACGATTTAATTGTTAAGTAAGTTTTGTCCCAACTTTTATGACCCTTCTTGTCACAGTTGTTAAATGAATTGCTGTACTGTTAAGTTAGTAAGATGGTTGTTAAGTGAGTCTGGTTTCCCTATTGACTCTGTTTGTCAGAAGGACGCAATAGGTGACCGCATGACCCTGGGATACTGCAACTGTCATAAATATGAGTCAATTGCCAAACATCCAAATTTTGATCACCTGACCGTGAGGATGCTACAGTGGTCATAAGTATGAAAAATCATACTTATGACCGGAAGTCATTTTTTTCAGTGCTGTTGTAACTTCAAATGGTCACTAAACGAATGGTGGTAAATCGAGGACTATCTGTACAGATGAGGCTTTTCTCTCTGATCTTGCTTTGTGATGGAAAATGTCAACTTCAGTTTAGGATTGCCTTTTATTTTGGTAAATATGTTAATTCAAGTAATAGAAGTTTTTTTCCTGGTAATTAAAGGGATAGGACTTAATTTATTGAAAAACTGAGTCAGAAATCTGTTGAAAATCAGCCAAAGAACTATTAGATCCTGATTTATGTTAAAGCCATTCCTGTTGTAAAACCTTCAAAATTCTTTACCCATATCCTAAAGATCTAACAGTCTGCACTACCTCAGTACTCATGGAATACTTTCTCCCTTAACACACAATTTCTTTAAAAAGGGAAGTACTTTTTGAAAAGTCATTGGATTTGTCTTCTTCAGTGTAAAAGAAAATACACTGAACAACGATTCGTTTACCTGCGGTTCAGATTATCTCGGTCAGCACAAGTACCACGTCTATCTGGCAACATTAAGTGCCAGAAAAATCTCTCATGATTGAAGATCAAAGCAAGTCCTCTTCTCTTGTGTTTCATTTTGTATTCCACAGTTGGATCAAAGAGCAGTCTGATTCTGCAAAAAACAAAAAACAACAACAACAACAACAAATCCAAGGTAGCCCAGTTAATAAACTTAGGTCTTTCTCATTCGTATACAGTAAACACATTTGTATGTTTAAGCAAGTCAATGATTAGGATTCAAAGAACTGTACAATTAGAGCAAATCGTGTATAATTTAATTTGATTTACAAGAAGAATATCCTTTAGTATTTTAGGTACGTTTTTGGTACCTACCTACATACCAACCATACTATTCCCATTTAGGATAAGCAGCACTATACAGAGTACAAAAAGGCAAAAGGAATATTAAGCCAAAGAAATTAAAGACATAAAAGAAAACAAAAAGGACTACAGCTAAAACTACATTATATCCACACCATTCATTATAACTTTCCATACCTTTCTGTCCTTGGAAACTATGCTTCTTTCTACCATGTTCATACTTTGTTTCACATGTAGCCTTTTGTTCTTTAACTTTGCCGATTGCCTCATTTTAGGATTGTTACTCCATGCAACCATGGTTTTCTTAAGTCTTTTTATGATTTCCTTCATGTATTTGTTTAGTGATTTGATTTTGGTTCATTCTCTTCATGTGGTCAAATTATTTAAATACACTTTCATAAGGACATTCAGTTTTGTACTCTATTCACATTCATTCATTGAGTATATGGCCCAAAGGTATCCATCAATATTAGTCTCTATGATCTTGAGCCAATACCTTAACAAGTACTCCATATTGTCTCTTTTGATGTCCTTATTTAGCAATGAATAACAGATAGTTTTCTTACTCTGAAGATTTACATTTTTTTAATTATTATTTTTATTGAATAATGCACAATTTCTATTTTCTCTTTGTTTATTGTTCACTGGTATTTGTCACGATTCTTCTGTTGTATTTACTATGTAAACAACACTGCAAGAACCATAGCTTTAAGGTGACTTAAAACAGTTTTCAATCAACAGCTAGTGCCAAGTGTACAATTTAACTCAGAAATTTCTGGTTGTGATGATTTTTTTTCAATAAACTTAGGAATAATACAAGAACAAAGCATTTGTGAAGGAAATAGAAAAGAAATTAAGTATACAGGTATAACACCTTTTCTGTTTGGTATCAGACTGATTAGAAGCGAGATTTGATTTCAAAGTTTTTATAAAGTCTCACTTTAGAAGTTGCATTTGAAAAAGAATGTTATGCATTAGCCAATCAATTTAAAGCACTCAAAATAGAAATACTTGTATCCAATGGGAAAAAGTGCAACCCCGATGGATAACTGTAATTTTAAAAGGAATCTGATTTGGTTACAAAATCAACCATCTAGCTTGGAGACCAACTGATCCTAAATTGGTTATTTTCATTATAAGCTTCTTAGAGTAGAGCCATACAAGATCCACAAATAATTATGATAGTTAGAAGGAAAAAAACGCTGCAAAATCTCTTGACTCAGAAAAGATTACCTTTCACCAAAGGCGTCTGATTCAGTGAGGTTTTGCTGCTCATCTGTAAATAGAAAATAATTCAAACATAAATAAATCAAAATAATTTAGCTTCTACATGATAAAAAATGTGCAAGTATAGGTAATACACTTACATGTTCACCCCAGTGGTGAAATCTAAAATTTGTACTGTGGGTGTGGCTTGGGGGAGTTAATGTGACTGGGTGGGCGTGGCCTTTTTTTTTTTTTTTTTTTACTTTTAAAACCATTTTTTCTACCTCTTCGGCAATGAGGTTGTTAAAAAATGCTTTCAAAAGGCTCTGACGATCCCAGCTGAGTTGCCTGATCGGCAGAGGTTTAAAAAGCCTCTGCCGATCAGGCAACTCAGCTGGGATCGTCAGAGGCATTTAAAAGAAAAAAAGGGTTTTTTTCTTTTAAAAGCCTTTGACGATCCCAGTTGTGCCGCGTGATCATCAGAGGCTTTTTTTTTTACTTTTAAAAGCATTTTTTCCATTGAAGAGGTTGTAGAAAAAATGCTTTTAAAAGTAAAAAACAGGCTCTGATGATTGTGAGGCTCAGGTGGGCATGGGGGGGGCAGGGATTTTTGCTACCGGTTCTCCGAACCACCCGCCTCCATCGCTACCGGATCGGGTGATCCGGTCTGAACCGGGAGCACTTCAACCCTGGTTCACCTTATTTTTAAAATATACTTTAAATATGTTTTCATATTTAAAAGCATATTTTCATAGGGAAATGTATTTTATGGAAATCCATAAATAAAAAAATGTAAGTGATCAAAAAAATAAGAAAAGATACAAACTAAAAGGTACTTAATTTACTTTAAAACAAGCAGTCTAACTTTACATACCAAGGAACAAAAATTGCAGTCGTTCCACCACCCCGACATAGAGTTAAATGACCCAATTAATCCACAGAAACTAGACTGGATCCCAGATAGCCTTGCTTGAGATTTAACTAATCACTCTTCTAGTCTACTAATTCCTGTATGGTATGTAAATTCTTTGAACATTAACAGCCTCTCCCAATATCAATTACTGAAGCAGAGAAAGAAGTCCTGCAAAAGGGAGACCTATATAGCCCATAGTCTCTGCTGCCTTTTGTTTTTCATCTCGGAGTCATATGGGAAGTGGGAAAGGAGCAGAAATGAAACACTTATGTGCCTGCAACCACAATTCTGATTCTGGTGTTGTCAACTAAAATTGTGCCAATGTGGACTTTTAATTATTTGTTCCCTCTAAGGCAGAGGTGTCAAACTCAAGGGTGCCCTATGGGGTCACCCTGGAAACAGCGGACTAGCCCACGGTGCCTCTGCCAGCGAAAATGAGCTCCCAATCTCTGTTTTTGCCAGGGATGGCCTCCTGTAACCCTCTGTCACAGACGCCCAACACGAGTGATGTTGAGCTGGCCACGCCCACCCAGCCCGAGGTCAAACACAACCCTGATGCAGCCCTCAATGAAATCGAGCTTGACACCCCTGCTCTATGGAGAAAATAAATTAAAAGCAGAAATTTCAGAGATAAATTTCAGTTTACCAAGTTCCATTTGCGAGTATCTGTGACAAGCCAAAACATCAGTGGTGAACGAATCTTTCCAGATGCTAATTTTTGTGTGCTACTGGGTCGCAACAGTTACTGAATTCTGAGGATCACCAGGACCGTGTCATGTAAACATAAATATTCCTCATAATTTGGGGGTGGTTTCAATCTCTTGCTTTTTTTCCTATTACGTTGCAATTTAGGAAAGTTTAAGTGTCAATTATATATATATTTTTAAAATGCTGGGTACCTTACCTTTGCACTGTAGTATGTTCTTGCTGTCCACGTGGATTTCTACAGTAGGAAACAATACAATGAATATCTCTCTTATAAACCATGTTCAAACTCAATTGCAAAAGAAAAGAAGGCAGGACTCAATATTTACAGCAATATACAGCATGTATTTTATGACTGAGGCATATTTCAATATACTACAATATACCGTATTTTTCGGACTATAAGATGCACCAAGGTTTCGAAGAGGTAAGCAAGAAAAAAAAGTTTTTTGCCCTCCCCGGTCCCCAGGAACACTTTGCAGGTCTCCCAAACCTTCTGTGCACCGTTTTTGCAAAAAATGGGCGTGTTTTTCGCAAAAACAGGACACGCGGGGCAGGGCTTCGGGAGGCCAAAAATGGTGTATTCAGTATATAAGACGCACCAACATTTCTACCCTCTTTTGGGGGCGGAGGGGAAGTGCATCTTATACTCCGAAAACTACGGTAATCAGCAAACAAATTTTTAAATACAAGTTAATCACTTAAACTCTTTTCTCCAAAGGTTTTTCAGTCTTCTCCTCAATGTTCTTATGAAGATTGACAAGCAAAAAGAGCAGCATTGCTACTTTTGTATATTCTTCCAAATGGATTTAATATTGTACTCTTAATTATGAACATGAATCACGGTATTTCAAATCAGAACTAGAAAGTTATAGTAAATCTATACTGACTGGTCATAAAGTCAAGGGCTAAGTGTATGATTGTAATATAAATTGTAAATTTATTCTAAATATTATATGTTGTAAATCTGTATTATTAGAAATCTTAAAACATTACTATATGTAGAACAGAATAACAGAGTTGGAAGAGATCTTGGAGGTCTGCTAGTCCAACCCTCTGCTTAGGCAGGAAACCCTACACCACTTCAGACAAATGGTTATCTAACCTCTCTAAGAGGTTTTCAGCGTTGGAGCATTTACAGCTTCTGGAGGCAAGTTGTTCCACTGATTAATTGTTCTAACTATCAGGAAATTTCTCCTTAGTTCCAAGTTGCTTCTCTCCTTGATTAGTTTCCACCCATTGCTTCTTGTCCTACCCTCAGGTGCTTTAGAGATTAGCTTGACTCCTTCTTCTTTGTGGCAACCCCTGAGATATCAGAACACTGCTATCATGTCTCCCCTAGTCCTTCTTTTCCTAAGACTAGACACATCCAGTTCCAGCAACCGTTCGTTTTATCCTCCAGTCCCCTAGTCATCTTTGTTGCTCTTCTCTGCACTCTTGCTAGAGTCTCAACATCTTTTTTATATTGTAGTGATCAAAATTGGATGCAGTATTCCAAGTGTTTTCTTACGAAGGCATTATAAAGTAGTATTAACACTTCACATGATCTTGATTCTATCTCTCTGTTTATGCAGCCTAGAACTGTGTTGGCTTTTTTGGCAGCTGCTGCATACTGCTGGCTCATATTTAAGTGATTGTCCACTAGGACTCCAAGAGCCTCTCACAGTCACCACTATTGAGCAAGGTACCACATATACTGTACCTATGCATTTTGTTTTTCTTGCCTAAATTTTAGAACCTTACTTTTTTCACCATTGAATTTCATTTTGTTGGATAGCGCCCAATGTTCAAGTTTGTTCCAATCCAATGATATTTATGCAATATTATGTAACTATTGATAGTCTATTGTTTGTGTAACTTAATGCATTGAAAATAAGGAGAAATAAATATTCTATCAATATCAATTACAATGGAAATGTTATTACAAGCATAAAATTATAGGTAGTCCTCAACTTACAACAGTTCATTTAGTAACCGTTGAAAGTTACAGCAGCACTGAAAAAAGTGACTTAAGACTGTTTTTCACACTTAAACTCTTGTAGCATCCCTATGGTCATATGATCAAAATTTAGACTCTTGGCAACTAATTTATATTTATGACAGTTGCAGTGTCCTAAGGCAGGGATCAGCAACCTGAGGCTCTGGAGCCTCATGTGGCTGTTTCACCCCTCTGCTGCAGCTCCATCACTCAAAATATCACAACCACCAATGTGCGACACCCACTAGCACGCTATTTATTGAGCTTTTCAACCCCTGGTAGGCCAACCATGGATAAATCCAAGAAAAGAGAAGTTTCAGAAGAAAACAGAACGTTTAATTCAACTACATATGCTAGTTTTGTGGCTGCTCAAGAAATAGTCAGGCACGAGAAGGGTTTTGTGGCTCCCGGTGTTTTCTTTTCTGTGGGAAATGATCCAAATTTCTCTTTTGTTTAAGGTGGCAGACCCCTGTCCTAGGGTCATGCGATCACCTTTTGCAACTCTCTGACAAGCAAAGTCAATACATAAGTCAGATTCATTTAACAACCATGTTACTAACTGAACAATTGCAGTGATTCATTTAATAACTGTGGCAAGAAAGGTTGTAAAATGGGGCAAAATTCACTTAAATGTTTCACTTAACAAGATAAATTTTGGGATAAATTGTGGTCGTAACTCGAGGACTACCTGTATTTGACTTTTTCATCCAAAATTGAACTAACATTAGAAAAAGAACTCAAATTGCATCAGAAAACTATATGATACACAATAAAGGTTTAAGTTCTGAGCTGATTACTTATGTTAGTCTGTGTTATTTAGTTGCTTTATACATACATCCATGCATTATATACATATATACATTATATACTTATAGGTATATGTATGTACATATACCCAGTGGTGAAATCCAAATTTTTTTAAAGCCGGTTCTGTGGGCATGGCTTGGTGGGTGTAGTATGGCTTGGTGGGCATGGCAAGGAAGGATACTGCAAAATCCCCATTCCCTCACCACTCCTGGGGGAAGGATATTGCAAAATCTCCATTCCGACCCCACTCTGGGGCTAGCCAGAGGTGATATTTGCCGGTTCTCCGAACTGCTCAAAATTTCAGCTACTAGTTCCCCAGAACCTGCTGGATTTCACCTGCATATGCCTATATATAAACACATATTTAACACACACACACACACACACACACACACACACAAACTACACAACATATATATAATGACAGAAAATAAAACATGAGTGCATAGATACCAAAATGTTAACATGATATATTTTTCTCATGGTGGATGTTGGGTAGACTGGAATTTCGGCCAGGGAAACCACAACCTTAGAATTTGCATGTGAAAGCTGTAGGGATAGTAACCCAGCCCTGTTCCTTTCACTTTGGAGACAACAGCATGATTTAGTGCAGTGTAATTTCCTGCTGGCTCTAGGAGAGAAGAACACAGCAAGAAACTGTATAGATATGGCTGAAGTCTCATTAGCCAGTTTATTGGCAGGAAAAGGGGGTTAAGTTTACTGAATCCTAGAAAGTGGATATGAGTACTAATTCATCAATAAGTACATTAAGATGACCTCTTTGATAGCTTTGATACTTTTTCTGTCACTTGACTCCAGAGGAATTTGCTCCCTGTTTAGCAGATAGGAAAAAGAGGTGTATTTGTGTTTTCTATGTAGTGTTTTGGAAATATCTGTTCCTATTCCCAGGGAAAGAGAACTGTGTTACAGCAGAATGAATTAGAACTGCATAGTAAAAGAAATTGGACTCAGAGCTCAGTTTTTTACAGAGAGAGGCAGAGACAAAGTTTCAAGGTATAACACTCAATGTGTTTTATATTATGAAATGGGTGGATACTGTACCACAATCTAGACTCTAGATTGCAGTTCAGTATCCACCCATTTCATAATTCTAGAGCATCGCTGTCCAAATTTTTGGTTTTCCTGGGCCGCACTAAGAGAAAAGGGGGTCGTATAAAATATATAGTTAACGTATATAAGTTTCATATACAACTGTGGGGCTGCATTACTAGTTGTCCAGGGCCAATGATGGGCCACAGGTTCGACATGCCTGAACTAGACCAATATTCTGCTTGAACAAAGAAATAGAATTATAAAAAAGGCAATTGCTTCCTCTTATTATTGAGATGATTGAGTTGGCTGTGCAATCAAATTATAGCATTTAATTTCTGATTTAAAATGGGGGGGGGACAATTATTAGGAGGATCTCTTCCGACCAAGCCTCCATTATCAAACATTCTGCTGCCTGTTCTCGAGAGGCAAGTTATAGTACAAGTTCACGCAGCTACTGTACGGTCGAGTAGTAAGCACTGCAAACCGGCAGCCACGCTCGGAGTAAGTTAATGAGGCGGAACAAAGGAAAGGCAGGAAGAGAGGAACGAGAACAAAGGAAGGCGGCCTGCCCAAAAAAAGCAGCCGCGGCCACTCGGACAGCAAACCAGGAGGAGCTGCGGACCTTTAACGAGCAGAAGCCGGAGGAGAGAACGAAGAGCAGAAGCAAAGAATTGCCTGCGGCTGCACTTAAAATCACAAAGTTGGATTCTTTATTCCAAGCAAAGATGGAGCATGGCGGCTCCCAAGGGCTGAGTTGTTTGTCTTTCCGACTTTCTCCCTGCATTTCACTGTACAGAGACGCCTTCAGCAGCTAGAGGAGGCGCTTTGAAACGAAGGCTCCCTTCATCCCGATCTGTCCTGAAGCACTTACTCCGTGGCTGGCTGGCTGGCTTGCTGTCTTCGCACAAGCCCTTCCACCAAGTTGGAAGAAAGACCTAGCAGCTGCCATTACCCCGACCTGCACTTCCATTCCTTTCAATTTCGGTTCGGGGGTTGCGTGGCACGCTCAGCAAACCCAAGTCAACCAGCTCAGACCGCCAAGGTTTCAAGGACTTAGTGAAATGGAGTGGTTCCTTCCCTGCCCTGACTGCCTCCCTGAAAGAAAAGCCACGTGCTCAGATGCCTTGTTGGGACGGGCTCCGTCTCCCCACGCTTTTGGCCTGGGGTGCCGTTTCAACCGAAGGCATCCACCCACGCGTGTCTGGGAGAATCCGTCTATCGCCTCCGGCCAGCCCGTTTTAGGCTGACACAACCGGAGCGAGAGCGGCCCCTAAAGCTCTACCAAGGTTCAAGCCTTCCTGCCCCCGAAGCGTCCAGTGAGACCCTTCGGCTCAAAATTCTCTTCGCCCGGAGCGGCTGCTGCAGCCCTTTTCTGCGCCTACCTGAGGACTTGGTGTCATTTTTTTGTCTCTTGGCGTTCGCCATGGCTGGGCTTCGGCTCCCGCGCTGCCTTCAGACAGTCTCCCTCTCCCTCCCGGGGCTGTTTGCTACCACAATCCTGCCTCCCCTCCTCCAGTTGCCTAGAAGAAAGGCAGCCACCCTCCTCCGCCGCCCGCCCTCTTCTCCTCCCCTGCGAAAGGAGCGCCTCCTCCTCTCCTCAACTCTCCCTGCTTGCTCTTATCAAGACTGGGCGGGCTGAGCGCTTGTCTCAGCCCTCTGCTTTGGCCTCGGAGGAGTGGGAGAAGCGCAGGGAGGCCGAAAGTCTGCGGAGAGTAATAAACACGCCTTGCCGTTTCCTATAATAAAGAAGCAAAAGAGGCTGGGATAGCCTGAAGGGAGAAAAGTATCCGTCTGATTGAGGACACCAACTCTAGGTCCCCAAAGAGCGAGCAGGCTTTCCATAAATAGCTCCTTGTTGTTTTAAAGCTGACAAAAATAAAGGATTGATCCACAAATCCATTCAGGATTTGCGCCCCATTTCTGTGATCTTGACCCTGGCTTCCGGTATTAGGCATAGTGAGCTAATACGGACTGTGAAAGGACTTTTTACACATATATAACAATTTTATTAATTTAAAGCAGAGGTCTTCAAACCTGGCAGCTTTAAGACTTGTGGACTTCAACTCCCTGCTATGCTGGCAGGAGAATTCTGGGAGTTGAAGTCCACAAGTCTTAAAGCTGCCAGGTTTGGGGACCCTTGGTTTATAATGTGCTCTGGCTACTTTCCTTCGTGACCAGAGGCAAACTCGCCTGACCAATAACGAGCCAAGACACAGGCGAAGACCTTATATGTTAAAATTAGAAAATAATTTATGCACTGTATGTCAGTTAATATTAATCAACTATTAGGCATGCTCAGTTTTCAGTTCTGGAGATAATTTATGGCTCCTTAGAACAATAGGTGGTTCTTTCCTGTTTTTCAGTTCAGTTTGCCTTTCCTGTTATCCCATTCAGTTACCTTTCCCTGGCTAGCCATTTCCTCTCACAGCTGTTTTTTACAGCTTGTATGCTTCCTTTTCCCACTCTGAAAATCCTGCTAATTTTTACCTACAAAATTTCCACTACACAGCAGATTCAATTTTAATTTTTTCTTTCAATATTAAATTTTGAAGACCGTGCCCAAGGTAGTCATGGCCAGCTCAATGCCACTTCTGACAGAGCGCCTGTGGCGGCCTGAGTGGTCTGCCAGCAAAGTCGGACTCCCAAACTCCATTTTTGGCTGGGACGGCTTCCTGCAACCCTCTGCCAGTGAAAATGGAGCCACATGCAGCTCTCCCAAGCTATGCTTTCTCTGGCAGAGGGTTGCAGGAGGCCATCCCAGCCAAAAACGAGATTGGGAGCCCGTTTTCGCTGGCAGAGGCATCGCAGGCTGGTCCTTCGCTGTTTCCAGGGCGGCCGCGCGGGCCAGATCTAAGCACCCCGCAGGCCGGATTCAGCCCGTGGGCCTTGAGTTTGACACCCCTGCTTTATAAGTATAAAGTTTATAAGAAAGTGACTGACTTAAGGTCACACATCTGGCTTTGTGCCTAAGGCAGGTCTACAACTTATAGTCTCCCAGTTCTAGTCTAGTCTCATCTAAAATAGGTTTTAACACTAAACCTAAATCTGATTAATTTACATATTTGCAGTTAATTTTCTATTGTACTCATCAGATAATAAATAGCATCAATGAAAACTGAGGTTCACTAAGAAGTGCAATTATGAAGCTGTTTGCGTAAACTGAAGATCCATTCAATCAAATTAACTGAACTGCCTACATTTTCACAATACACTAATAAATTAATCTAACAGGCTTCATTAACCCAACATGCTGAGCCATTAATAGGAGAACATATATTAACTCATCATGTTTGGCAAATCCAACCTGAGCTTGACAAATCATGGTTTGCACATTTAAATGACACGTATTTAAACTCTCTTGCATTTCATGGAAATACTTCATTTTCAGGCTCTTGCCTGTGACTTTTAGAGTATGCCCATTTCTATGATTTCACTTTGTTCCGTGCCCCGTCCATCAAAGGTAACTTTTGTGTTGCACAGCTAATTGACCACACCTATCTTACATAAATACTTTAATTTTCAATATATTTTGTAAGTTAAATATTAAGTCTACTACCCATGTTGTAAATCTAAGTCTCCTGCCTTCCGCTCCGAAATGTTATGTTCCTCACTGATGTTCCCACAGTATGCCTTCTCTACCAGATCTAATGGGATGGGCTGATGGTAGCTGGGAACAGATCCATCAGATAGGATGGTCCCATTTTATGAAGCCCAGTCCCAGGTCTTCTTTATGAATGAGACATGTAGCTGCTTTTTTAGGGCAGGAGTGTTTTTATACAATACAGGTAGTCCTTGACATATGACCACAATTGAGCCCAAAATTTCTGTTGTTAAGTAAAACATTTGTTAAATGAATTTTGCCCCATTTTCTTGCCACAGCGGATAAGTGAATCACTGCAGTTGATAAATTAGTAACCTGGTGGTTAAGTGAATCTGTCTTCCCCATTGACTTTGCTTGTCAAAAGGTTGCAAAAGGTGATCACATGACCCTGGGAAACAGCAATGGCAAATAGGAACCAAGTGCCAAACATCTGAATTTTGATCACATGATCATGGGGGGGATGCTGCAAAGATCATAAGAATGAAAAGCGGTCATGTCACTTTTTTCAGTGTTGTTGCAACTTTGAACAGTCACTAAATTAACTGTTGTAAGTTGAGGACTACAGAAATTCTGTATTGATTAATATAAGTACTTTATAAATTAGGTTTAATAAAAATTTAAGAATGTGAATCAATTCCTGCTTGGATAGAAATCTTGGCCATTAAGGATCTTCTCGGCTGACCAATCTCACAGGAAACTAAAGGAGAAAAATAGGCTAAAACTGAGTGATAAAATAATTATTTATACATTTTGTTACTTTTGTTATAATCAAAGAAAGCTACAAATAGCTTTCAAGTGCATTCACATATTTTAACTAGCCACTGAACTATTACTATTGAATATGCAAATTACCAGTTGAAAGTGAAGATAGTCTTTTGAGTGGTTATTCACTTTTGTTGGACTTTCTGTTTTAGCAAAAGGTTTCTTTGCTTTTTAATTCCCTCATTATGCATTTTGTAAGCCACCCAGAGTCATGACTGATTAGGGCAGCCTTTATATTTCCCAAATAAGTAAATATAATTTAAAAACACACATGTATGGTACTAGGGCCGTGATGGCGAACCTATGGCATGAGTGCCACAGGTGGCACATGTAGCCATATCAGTGGTCACGCCAGCACAGCTCTGGCGCACATGCACCGGCCAGCTGATGTTGGGTCTTCTGGGCCCACCAGAAGTAGGGGAAACAGGCTGTTTCCTGCCTCCAGAGGGCCTGTGGGGGGTGGGGGTGGAGAAGGCCCATTTTTCTTTCTCACCTGGCTCCAAATCCTCTCTATGCATCTGGGGAGGGCGAAAATAGCCTTTCCTACTCCCTCAGAGGCCTCCGGAAGCCTGAAACGGCCCATTTCCCAACTCCCGGTGGGACAGGAAGTGACTTTTTTGCTGTCCCCAGCCTCCAGAGACTCCTGCACGCATGTGCAGGGCGGGGTGCATAGAATTATGGGTGTGGGCACGTGCGCATACGAACCTCCCCCTTTTGGCACGCAATGGCAAAAAGGTTAGCCTTCACTGTACTAGAGAAAAAAATACTAAGAAAAATGGTGGACTGAAGGTATTCCTTATTCTTATCTCCTAATGGCTAATGTATATTTCAATTAAGTATGCCTTTCAAATTAATTTCAAGTCAGAATGTTTTTTCCCTTTTATTTTTAAATACATCTTAGGCTATTTAATATGCACTACTTCACTATCTTATTGCTCCGATTATAGCAGAACAAAGAAGAAAGAGAAGAATTAAAAAAAAGTGTGATCTGGATAAGCCCTGACAAGTACTTCATAGTTGCCAGCATGTTCTCTGAAGATCAACTTTTTAGATATTCACTATTATATGGTGTCCAGTGGTCAAATCCTCTGCAGATTACCACCGGTTCACTGCACGCACACGTGGAGTGTGCACCAAATACATGCTTTGCGCGGGAAAAGGAAGCTTCACAAGGTAAATAGAACAGCGAAGGGGCAGAAACAGCTGTGCCGCGCGATTTAGATTCGCTAGAAAGCAGGATTTCCTGCTTTCTAGCAAATATAAATCACGCGGCACATCTGATAATTAGAATACCGGAAATACCGAACCGGAAATACCGGTTCGGACTAACCGGTAGCTTTTATCACTACTGGTTCACCCGAATTGGTGTGAACCAGTAGCATTTCACCCGAAACTGCCATCTTATACTGTTTTGCTGGTGTAACTTATTTTACGTAAGCAAGCCATAGCTTCAGATTCATAGAATCCTGAGTTACTTGCTTTAATGACTCTACTGGTGCAGTAATACGATATATAATGTAAGCAAACTTGTTCAATGGAGGACAACTTCCAATCCTTTCTTACTGTACACAAATACCCATGAGTTAAAGTAATAGCAGGCTGGATTTCTGGCACAGTACAAAGGAATTATCAAACTTCTCTCATAAAATCTTAGGTAGTTATCAAGAAACTGGATGCAAAGGCTAACAAATACAAAATGGTGGAAGATAATAAAATAAAAGCATATCAAGCGAATCCTGTAAGTTCTTCTAGTAGTTGTTTTCTTAAATTTTGTTGATGGAAAAATACATGACATATAATCAATTTAGCATGTTTAATTTTTTCCCTTTCTAAACAGGTAATTTTATTTCACACCTATTCATTTTAAAATGTCCATTTCATTAATAAAGGCACTAGGAGAAATTGCGTCAAAGATCACTTTTCAAGTAATATCAAGTAATTCAGCAGTTTTTATAGTTTTTATACTTGAGGCAGAATTTGCTTCAGTAGAGATTATTTATAGAAATGTCAGGAATGAGAGCTATATAAAACTTTGATGTAAAAAAAAATGAAATTATGAAAACCATGAAAGAATCCTTGCACAGTTAAAGCGATTCATAGCCATAAGAAAGAATGATAAATTAGTCTTAAAATTAAATTTTGAGATATTCCAGGATAAAAGGGATGTAAT